TGTCATGAATGAGGACGAGCGTTACGATGCAGTGTGTCACTGTCGGTATGTGGATGAGGTCGTCCGCAATGCTCCATGGACACTCTCGCCTGAATTTCTAGCCGAACACAGAGTAAGTATTCAGACAGCGAACACAGCATAATTATGAGTTCGGGTCCCTAGAAGCGCTTGAACTGATGTGATGTTTACAATGAATGAATGTAAAATGCCCCCTCTGACTCTGGGCCTGGCACTGTGAAATTTAGTTCACCTAAAATTGAAAATTCAGCCATTTACTGATCATCTACTTGCTCCAAACCTGTTTATTTCTTCTGTTGAAGACAAAGGAAGATATACTGAATAATGCTGGAAAACAAACCATTGTAAGACTTCCATTGTATTTAAGTTACCGTAGATGTCAATGGCTGCTTTTTCCCCAATATTCTTCAGAAAATTTAGTTTTGTGTTCAACAAAGCAACTCATAAAGTACTTGAGTGGGAGTAAATAATGAAGAAATCATCTTTTTTGAGTTGAACTGTCTTTTTAAATAATATACAAGTACAACAAATGATGAAAATTAAAGGTCAGTACTACCTGAATGTGTGTCTATATCATGTCAAATCTTCATAATCTACGGTTACTTGTTCTTCCCAGATAGACTTCGTTGCTCATGACGACATCCCGTACATCTCAGCCGGAACTGATGATGTTTACAGACATATAAAGGATGCAGGTAGATGGTAAAGCTTTTACAATAAGCTTTCATTATTAGTTCATGTATTTACTAACATGAACTGAGCATGAACACTTGTGAAGCATTTATTAATCATAGTTCAGCATTTACTATTTAATTATTAAAATGCAATGTCTGTTTAACAATAGTAGCAGCTGCTGTTAAAAGTGCTGATAAAAATTGTAATGACTTTTTTCAAAGTGATTTTAAAACTCATTTCAAGCAATCTAAAGGCAAAACAAGGTTTATAAAAGCTGGAAGTATATCTCCTTTGATCCATACATGTACACATTTAAACTTTAAAATCAGTCTTTCGTAAGACATGTCATACTCTTTTTTTTTTTTTTTTTATTCAACATGTGTTTACATATCCACATAAAATAAACCTAATTCATACATTTAATCCAGAGTTTTCTTTTAAAGCGTCCTGCCGTTATCAGCGCACAATGACTCTTGGGACGTTCAAGGCTTTGAAGGATCCACCAGTTGTGTCCTTCATTATCTGAAAAACGGATGTATTTGGAGGCTGCGTTTAAAGGAGCCTTCAAATTCTTTTTGAAAGGAGACAGCCTTTCTTGTGTCGCGATGGCGCAGCCTACTTCGAAAGCATCCTTCGAAGGATGCAGCCTCTGAAATGAGACCGCTATAGACTGCTGAGTAAAAGTATGTACTTAGCTTAGCATCAGAGCAGAGCTCAATAACGTTCATGACCTTTCCAAATATCGAAAGCTATCCAGCATCTAGTTCGAGTAATAAATAAGCATATAAAACAGTCTCTGGACATTTTTGTTACTGTACCTAAGGCACATACCTACTGTAGATATCAGAGAACAACTTAACTTATTGAATAATGCAGTTTTCCATCATTAACTTGTACAAGCTTGTTGTACAGTGTCAATGTTTTATTACAATTGTGGTAAATTAGTTTTATTTGTCTACAGAATCACAATATTTGCTGCTCAAATTCTGTTTTTGAGGTATGTTTGCACCGACTCAGAGAACAGAGGGCATCTCCACGTCTGATATAATCACTCGTATTGTTCGTGATTATGACGTTTATGTGCGCCGTAACCTGCAGAGAGGCTACACTGCAAAAGAGCTCAACGTCAGCTTCATCAATGTGAGTGCGCTAACATTGAATATTATTTCCCCCAAATGCTCACTTTGTACTCAGTCTGTAGAAACAGAAAGTCCTTTATTTTGGAAGTGTAACTGTAAATTGTTTTGGGTTGACTTGTTTTTTTTTTTTTTTCTCGTTGTATGATTAGTAGGGCTGTAAAATGATTCATCACAATTAATTGCATCCAAAGTTCATATTTATTACAAAATACATTTGTTTGTGCTGTGTACATTTTTGTTTATATAAATATATGCATTACTGTATTGTATATAGTGCTTGTTAATATGTATATATATAATACAAATTATATACAGTTGAAGTCAGAATTATTAGCCCCCCTAAATTATTGGGCTTGTTTATTTTTTCCCCAATTTCTGTTTAACCGAGTGAAGATTTTTCAACACATTTCTAAACATAATAATTTTATTAACTCATTTCTAATAACCGATTTATTTTATCTTTGTCATGATGTCTGTAAATAATATTTGACTAGTTATTTTTCAAGACACTTCTATACAGCTTAAAGTGACATTTAAAGGCTTAATTAGGTTAATTAGTTTAACTAGGCAGGTTAGGGTAATTAGGCAAGTTATTGTATAACAGTGGTTTGTTCTGTAGATTATCGAGAAAAAATATAGCTTAAAGTGGCTAATAATTTTGTCCCTAAAATGGTTCATAAAAAATCTAAAATGCTTTTATTCTAGCCGAAATAAAACAAATAAGACTTTCTTCAGAAGAAAAAATATTATCAGACATACTGTGAAAATTTCTTTGCTCTGTTAAACATAATTTGGAAAATATTTTTAAAAAGAAGAAAAAAAAATCGAAGGGGGCTAATAATTCTGACTTCAACTGTTTATACATAAATATGCAAATATATTTCTGTATATTTCTCTATTTTATGTACAATATGTGTGTGTGTGTGTGTGTGTGTGTGTTTATACATAAATATACACAGTACACATGTATATATTATGTAAATACAAACCTTTACCTTGCTTGTGATATATCGGGATTTATTATTTGACAGCACTAAAATTATTATTTATTTATGACTTTCATGAAAAGATTTCGTTATCTACAGTCCATCCAGAAAGTATTCATAGCACATTCACATTATTTATGTTACAGCCTTATTCCATAATGGATTAAACTAATTTATTTCCTCAACATTCTACACACAATCCCCCATAATGACAATGTGAACAAAGATTTAGTTGCAAATTTATAAAAATTAAAAATAAAAGCTGATTGGACATCTAAGATGAATGATCAGGGGAGAAGGGCCTTAGTCAGGGAGGTGATCAATAACCCGATGGTCACTCAGTCTGAGCTCCAGAGTTCTTCTGTGGAGAGAGGAGAACCTCACAGAAGGACAACCATCTGTGCAGCAATCCACCAATCAGACCTGTATGATAGAGTGGCCAGACGGAAGCCACTCCACGCCTAAAGTTTGCCAAAAGGCATCTGAAGGACTCTCAGACCATAAGATCTTCCAGCAGGATAATGATCCAAAGCACACTGCCAAAATAATACATCAACTCAGTGAATGTCCTTGAGTGGCCCAGCCAGAGCCCAAATCTAAATCCTATTAAACATCTCTGGAGAAATCTGAAAATGGCTGTACACCGTCGCCTCCCATCCAACCTGATAGAGCTTGAGAGGTACTTCGAAGAGTAATGGGCAAAAATTCCAAATGTGCCACTGCCAAGCTTGTGGCATCATATTCAAAAAGACTTGAGGCTGTAATTGCTGCCAAAGATGCATCAACAAAGTATTGAGCAAAAGCTGTGAATACTGATGCACATGTGATTTTTCAGGGTTTTATTTGTAATAAATTTGCAGCAATTTCAAAAACTCTTTGTTCACTTTGTCATTATGGGGGATTGTGTGTAGAATGTTGAGGAAATAAATATTTAATCCATGTTGGAATAAGGCTGTGACATATAAATGTGGAAAAACTGAAGTCTCTGCTGCCCTCTTGCTGCCAGGAGAAGAAATACCACCTGCAGGAACACGTTGACAAGGTGAAGCAGAAGGTGCGAAACGTGGAGGAAAAGAGTAAAGAGTTTGTGCAGAAGGTGGAGGAGAAGGGCATCGACCTCATTCAGAAATGGGAGGAGAAATCACGCGAGTTCATCGGAAACTTCCTGCAGATGTTTGGGCCGGACGGAGCACTGGTAAGACTGGACACACGCAGTACTTCAAGTCATAGTCATAAGATGTTGAAGTGTAAATACAATTAATTAATAAACTAATTCGATTAATCACATCCAAAATAAATGTTTGTTTTGACATGATATTTGTGTGTGTATTATATATATTTATTATGTGAAAGGGATACACACACATACATAGAAACAAAAGTAAACAAAACAATCCAGCATATGTTTTACACAGCGGATGCCCTTACAGCTGCAACCCAGTACTGGGAAACATTCACGAACACTCATTCATTCACACACACTCATACATTACAGTTAATTTAGTTATGCACCTAAAGCACATGTGTTTGGACTGTGGCGGAAACCAGAGCACCTGGAGGAAACCCACGCCAACATGTCCACACAGATATGCCAACTAATCCAGCTGGGACTCGAACCAACAACCTTCTTGCTGTGAGGCGACAGTGCTAACCACTGAGCCACCGTGTCCCCCCATACATATATATTTTGTATCTAAATATAAATAAACTGTCAGTAAACTGTGTCAGTTAGCGTTTCTGTGTGGAGTTGGCATGTTCTCCTAGTGTTCGCGTGGGTTTCCTCTAGGTGCTCTGGTTTCCCCCACAGTCCAAAGACATGCACTATAGGTGAATTAGGTAGGCTAAATTGTCCCTTTTTTGCCCCTGTTTTCCATTGATGGGTTACAGCTGGAAGGGCATCCGCTTCGTAAAACATATGTAGGATAAGTTGGCGGTTCATTCCTCTGTGGTGCCACCAGATTAATAAAGGGACTAAGCTGAAAAGAAAATCAATGAATGACACCTGCTATAAGTGGTCGACCAATCAGAATAATCGAATCATCTGACCAATCAGAGAAGAGCTAACTCTGGAAAAAGATCTTTAGTCTTAAAGGGCTAGTTCAGTTCAAAAAATAATATGGTCTAATTACTCTCTCTAATTTCTTTCTAATCCCCTGACCCCTTCATTTGTTGACACACATTAAGATATTTTAGATGAAATCTTGAGAGTTTCCCTCATATACACCAAGGTTCCCGACTTGTTCAGAAAAATCCTCAAAACAGACCATAAAGGCCAGATATAAGTTTTTTTTTTTGCTTTTCGTTTAAAGATTTAACAAAAAGTTGTTTGGAACTGTGTAAATTAACTCGAAATGAACTTCGTTTGGGCCGGATTTTGTTCAAAGTGACTTTATTGAAGATTTTGGGATTTTTGTTTGAAGTATAGCGGGTCCTTAGACCTTCAGTGGTTCAAGCAGAAATGATAAAGCTTCAAAAAAAATTAATTATTAACGTTAACTTAATGGATTTGGGTCGGGACAACATAAATTAATTGTGTGGAACCGTTTTTTGGGTTTTTTTTTTTTACAGTGCAGATAAAAATAACAACTTTATTCAACATTTCTTCTCCTCAGTGTCACTATGTAGGAACTTTTAAGATATTATACAGCGGGGTAAATAAGTATTGAACACATCACTCTTTTTCTGAAAAAACTTATTTCTAAAGGTGCCGTTGACTTGAAAATTTCACCGGATGTTGGTAGCAACTAAAAAACTTCACATATGCAAAGAAAACAATATTAATTAGTTTAAAAATAAGTTCTGTGTAATAAAATGAAATAAACACATGAAGAAAGGGAGGCGTAGAAAGGCAGTGAAAGCCCAGACAGCAGCTGAAATCTCTAAGTAGTTCTTTAGCAACTCTCTGCCCTTCCTTATTGTAAATAAATGTGAGCTGCTTCAGTCCAACATCTACATTAGCAGGAGGATGAAGATGAAACCAGGGTGGACATTTCAGCAAGACAATGATCCAAAACACAGCCAACGAGACTCTCAGATGCTTACAGAGAAAGTAAATCAAGCTGTAGAATGGCCCAGCCAATCACCTGAATCGAATTCAATAGAGAATACGAATTAAAGATCAAATTTGATAGAGGAGACCCACAGAACATCAAGATTTTCACACTTTGTTGAAAACCTCACATCATGTGACTTCATTCTCCATATAAGAGGCGTCTTTAAGCTGCCAGCACCAAAAAAGTCGTTCAGCTCTTTCTCCTTGTGTCGTTCCATTGTTATTACACAGAAGTCATTTCTCAGATTTGATTTGTTTTGTGAAAAAGGTTTTCATTGAATAGGAGTATATATTCATGATGATCGACCTGATGTTTAATGTGTCCAACAGAAGCACATGTTGAAGGAGGGAAAAGGACGGATGTTACAGGCCATCAGTCCCAGACAGAGTCCCAGCAGCAGCCCCGTCCGCGAGGAGCGACCTCCCTCACCCAGCTTCCGTCTTCCCTTCTTCACCTCTTCTCCATTCTTCTCTCCTCACAGCGGCTCACACCACTTCAGCAAAGATGACGATGACGACTAGATGTCTGTTTCTATAACCCAAGCGTCTGTTGTTCCACATTGTCCCTGTTTTACACTCTTTCTTCAAGCGAGTAGTCAAGAATGACGGTCTGGCTTAAGGTTTATCTGAATAAGGAAATCAGTGTTCATGAAATGCACAAATTATTCCTCTCCCTCTCTCTCCCTCTCTCTCTCTCTCTCTCTTTCTCTCAATCTCTCTCTCTTTCTGAAGATTTTTATCCCACATCTCGCCCTCGCTTCAGGGAGATTTGCCACACACCACTACACCAAAAGACTCCATATTGTTGGGCTTTTCTTTTGGATACATTTTGTATTCGGCCTTGCATAATTATACACTTCACATTATTTTGTTTCCCCGACAGCGCGTCTCGTTCTCAGCGGCAGAAAACTCACATTCACCTGCTTTCATTGTTTAGATCCTTCCATACTTGAACAGCGGCCAAATCTGAGAGCGATTCCAGCTCGAGGGAGGGCCAGCAATCTGCTTTTCTCCTTGTATAGTCTGTCTATAACTCAACGTGAAGATCTGCTTTTATTTTGCACTCGCTCATCAGTCTTTCTGACTCTTTTAGGCTGAAGTTTACTGTCTGGTTTTCCCTCATACGAACCCTCTCTCAGAGTCTGATGTGAAGTAATAATTCCAGGCGTCTGGCATCTCCATTAAACCCAGTGTTACGCTGTGGCATGAGTCCCAGGCTTTCTGAAAAGGATTTGCCCGCTGAATGTTTACATTACCCAAGCCCAGCGAGGGACAGTGTTACACGCAGGAGAGCCAAGACCTGTTTGTTTACATGTTTGCGTAGGACAGGAAGACCACGGTAGGATTACATGATGCTTGCCAATAGACTAAAACACAACTCAGGACAGGAGTATTAGCTGAAAATCAATAAAGACTGAAGTAAATCGCTAAACCACCTTGAAAAACAAAAGCAAAATGTGACGTTATTCACTCACTCATGAGAAACAATGACAGACTGTATACTACAGCACCTTTAATGTTTGATAATAGTTTAGAAAACAATTTTTTTTAAGTAATAAACGTCATTTCTGAATGGGTTTAAATTCAGATACACATGCTTGACATCATAGTCATCTCTTAAAAAGCTTCCATAAGAGTGTTTTAGTTTCATATTGTTTGTTTATGAAAAACATTATGACCCGGGGTCTGTTCTTCATACCTCGCTTAAATGATCTAAGATGATTTGGCAGATCCTGGATCTTTTAATCTTGATAACTGATCTCTGGCTAATTTGGTTCTTCAAAAAAGTTCGCGAATCAGATTAAAATGTCTGGATGAACTGATCTGAGATCACTGCGTGTGTCGTTAAGGACAGATCTATCGATTCCAGAAATCATGATCAGCAATGCAACGATTGGTTGACATCAATGACATTAATGACATCATCTGATTAATATTCAATCATCCATGTGAGCAAAATGACATCAAATTAGCAGTAAACGGTTTGTTAAATATGATGCGCAAATTACTTTCCACATAAGCTGCAGGCTTCACACTTTGTGTCGAGTATTCATCATGTATTTTAATGCATATCAATGTATTTAGTTCTACATTTAGAGAAGATTTTCTTTATTATAGTAGCCTAGGCCTACTCAAGTTTTTTTAATCGCCGTTAGGAATAACTATGAATAAATTTTGCATAAAAAAAGTATTTTATACTGGTAAAGGTGTCTGTAACTTTTGCAAAGCATCAATTGTTGATTTAAATCGATATAGCGGTCGAAACACGTGTATGACTGCATAATTATCATTAAAAAAAAAAAAAAAAGTTAAATATTGTGCATGTATGCTTTTTTAACTAAAAAGTTTATATCAATAAATGTTCTCTTTAAACCACTAGGTGGCAGTCTTTGTACTTTATTTTGGAGTGCAGATTGCATAAGTTTTATTAATATATATTTTTTACTTTATATATATATATATAGTTAAACAAATTATATTTACTATTATTATTATTATTACAAGTGTATATAACATGAGCATTTGGCACATACTTTCAGTATTATCTTTGCTTGAAATGACCCGATCGAATCCTGTAAGCCTGCTCCCGATCAGGTTTGAGCTACCAGAACTGTTTCTATGACAACAACTCTTAGATGAGTTTTGAAGAACTAAACGATCCTGGATCATGTCAAATCGTCAATATCCAAAATCCAGCTAACTGAGTAATCCCCCTACGAAGAACAGACCCCTGGAAAGAAAGGTTGGATCTTCATCGAGTGCCCACTAACATTTGAGCGCTGTTCTTTAACAGGGATGACTGGTCATTGTGTTTACATGCTCAACTGAAATGACTGTGATTCGGCCGTGAAGGTCATCAAACTCACCTCTGTTTACTGAGTGTAACGACAGATACAGGGACACTGGAGGGTTTTAAAGCTGTGAAGATCAGCTGGTCTGTTTATAAGCTGACATGCGAGCGATCTGCTAATAAATCGACTGATCTTTGCGGCTTTAAAACGCTCCTGTAACCCTGTATCTGTGGTTATACTCAGTAAACAGCGGTGAGTTTGGTGAAATGATGACCTTCACGGCTAATCACAGTCATTTCTGTTGAGCATGCGAACACAATGGCGAATCAGCGATATTTAAGAGCGCTCAAATATTAGCGGGAAATGGACGTTTTTAAGATTTCAGTACTGATTGGAAGCGAATTCCAGTATTGGGACACATTCATGCATGATGCATTCCTTGTAAAGTATTTCATGTCTTGGGAAAGGTATTAATGAGTCTGTGATGGTTCATAAGCTCTCCTGCCACTAAGTGCTTCTCAGTTGGAGGATCTCTCAGTTCATTTTAACCAGGGCAATAAACAAAAATAAAAAGATAAAGGGCTGTTCACACCAATAACAGTAACTATAATAGCATGCTCACTAGCAGAAGATAATGATAATCTTTTAAAAGCGAGCAGTTTTCATGAGTTATGAACAAGAATCGTTTTAAAAACACTGAAAATTACACAATCAGATATAATAGGATAGAAAAAAAAGTTGCACAGATTCTGATTTAAAACATGATTGTTTAAAAAATAAATTATAAATGGATAGGTGTTGGGGTGGCTCGTTGGATAGCACTGTGGCCTTACTGCGAGAAGGTTGCTGGTTCGAGTCCCGGCTGGATCAGCTGGCAGTTCTGTGTGGAGTTTGCTTGTTCTCCCCGTGTTGGCGTAGGTTTCCTTCGGGTGCTCCGGTTTCCCCCAGTGCAAACACATGAGCTATAGGAGAATTGGGTTAGCTAAATTGCCAGTAGTGAATGAGTGTGTGTGTATGGTTGTTTCCCAGTACTGGGTTGGAGCTGGAAGGGCATCCGCTGCGTAAATCATTTGCTGGATAAGTTGGTGGTTTATTCCACTGTGGCGACCCCTGATGAATAAAGGGACTAAGCCAAAGGAAAATTAATGGATAGGTGTTGCTTGATTTATTGTGTTGGAACAATATGCAAAAATATGTCAACCTTAATATTAATACTGTAAAGCTGCACTCAAATTGACAAAAAACTAACTTGTGTTGTAATAATAACTATTCTCGCAGAATTAGAACAATTATTAAAACTCTATACTTTATTGTCGTTGGTGTGAACAGATCTTAAAGGGTTGGTTCACCCAAAAATGTCAACTATATGATGAGTTACTCACCCTCAAGGCAGCCTTGGTGTATAAGACATTCACCTTTATGTCAAATCCTGACAGAGTTATTTAAATGAATGGCCTTTTCCTGCTCTACAATGACTTGATTCTTATTAGGAAACCAAAAGTTTATAAACTGTTTTGTGTAGCATCTGGCAACTGCCATTGCTCGTGCTCTTCTTTTGAGGTGTGTTAGTGTCATCAACTGGAAAGGACTGCAAGTCTGTCTGAAATTGTATATTTTCCTACTATATGGTATGTGGAGGCAGCACGGGGGCTCAGTGGTTATCACTGTGACCCTACAGCAAGAAAGTCACTCATTTGAGTCCCGGCTGGCTCAGTTGGCATTTCTGTGTGGAGTTTGCATGTTTTTCCCCATGTTGGCGTGGGTTTCCTCCGGGTGCTCCGGTTTCCCCCACAGTCCATACACATGCTATAGGTCAGGGGTGTCAAACTCATTTCCTGGAGGGCCAAAGCCCTGCACAGTTTAGTTCCAACCCTGCTCCAACACACTTACCTGTAGGTTTCAAACAAGCCTGAAGGACTCAATTAGTTTGATCAGGTGTGTTTAATTAGGGTGGGAACTAAACTGTGCAGAGCTGCGGCCCTTTAGGAACTGAGTTTGACACCTGTGCTATAGGTGAATTGGGTAAGTTAAAATGGCAGTAGTGAATGAGTGGGTGTGTATGGGTGTTTCCCAGTACTGGGTTGCAGCTGGAAGGGCATCCACTGCATAAAACATATGCTGGAACAGTTGGCGGTTCATTCCGCTGTGGTGACCCCTGATAAATAAGGAACTAAGCCAAAGAAAAATGAATGAACGACTTGAGGGGGAGCAAATCTTGAGATCATCTTCATTTGGGGTGAACTAACCCTTTAAAACCCCTACCAAAACAAAATGAAGGACTGTGCATGCACTACTGATTTTTTATTTCACCACAGTGTACAAAACGCTACTCTTGCAAACAAATGAAAGACGTCAGTTTTGATTTTCCATCAAACTCTCCGTCATATTTTAAGCATCTCTAAAACTACAAATGCCTCAAAAGTGGCATGTATGTTAATAAACAAGCACCTTTGTCATGGCTGCAGAAGTAAATCTAGCTGATGCTTCTTCCACAGTATTGCCTCTGACATTCTGGCCTCTGGTCTGCCTGTGCGTGTCGTCCATTACGGCTCTGAGCATCAGACAGACACGTGTGACTGTGAGCGGCTCTGCAGTCTGGAGGTAGAGCACGAGTGATGAACACATCCGCCATCAGCTGTTGTTGGACGACTGCTCCGGCTTCAGCCGAATGGCCCATGAGTTTGCAGAGACGATGGTGCCGCGTCGATGGATGCGGCAGGTGTACGTGCCTTCGTTGAACTCATTGGCCACAAGCCGCAGGTCCCGATCTTTAATTACTATATAGCCAGGAATGGACGTCAGCAACTGCTCACCGTCTTTGTACCAGCTGCCAAAAGAAGGAATAAAGTGAGTGAGAAACACTAAACTGATTACTGACTCAATCCAAGCCTGATGCATTCTGAAACGGTCACAAAAACAGATGAATGCATTCATTTACACAATGACCACAGGGCAATTCGAAATCCGTTTATAGAGATGTACATGGCTGTTGCTAGGCCTATTTTGAGGGGAATGAATGTGTGTCATCAGGACCGAATTTGGACCCCTGTCCTAGCCAAAATAAAACAAATAAGACTTTCTCCAGAAGAAGAAATATTATAGGAATATACTCTTTTTTTTCTTTTCTTTTTTCTGAGTATCATATTTTACCAGAATTTTATGGCTAATATGATATTATACATTTGAAAAGAGAGCTCAAAGAAATAAGCACCTCGCTTTTATTTAGAGGCGAACAATGAATGCTGAGAGTAAAGTTACTGATGATAATAATATAAATATAAAATGCAGACAGCTTTCATTGTAATTCAGTGAGATCTGCTCTGAAAACAAATATTTTCACTACTTGTTAAAACTACAAATTTATAATGAGCTGAATCAACACAATTCTTGAAGTTTTTTTTTTTTTTTTTAGTTTTTATACTAATATTCTAACAATTATAAAAAAAATAGAATATATATATTAAATATTAAAGTAAAATATTAAAGTTATTATTATGTTTATTCAATAAAAATCTGTAAATTACATTTCACGTACCACAACATAAAAACATGAACACTCGCCTGATAGGGAATTCTTTTTAAAACTGTAACTAATTGACATTTATTTGCTAAACAAAGTGCATCTGTCAAAATCACTATTTAGTAGATGATTTTTTATCAATTTCAATATATAGCATTATTGAAATTGATGAAAACTCTACCAAACACCATCTGTGTTCTGACAGATGCACTTTGTTTAGCAAATAAAATTCATTGCAATTTTTAAATTCTGAGAGCTGTGGATGTGATTATAGAGCGCTCTACCTGACTTTTGGAGGCACTCTGGTGCTTTTTGTCCCACAGCGGAAGCCCACAACTTTTCCACGAGGCACAATTTTGATCTTGACATTTTCCGGAGGAGGGGTCGGTGTGGAAACTGCATCCAGAGGCTCTGAAGAGCAAAGCAGCACTTTAAAGAGTGTGTGAGTCTGATTTTATTATGCATAGAGTGAGAAACTTTTGTGTGTGTGTGTGTGTGTGTGTGTGTGTGTGTGTGTGTGTGTGTGTGTGTGTGTGTGTGTGTGTGTGTGTGTGTGTGTGTGTGTGTGTGTGTGTGTGTGTGTGTGTGTGTGTGTGTGTGTGTGTGTGTGTGTGTGTGTGTGTGTGAGAGTGTGTGTGTGAGTGTGTGAGTGTGAGAGTGTGAGTGAAGATGGAGGAGGAGGATGTTGATCGTCTCTCACCGTAGCACAGGTCGCAGCGCTGCGGGCAGTTTTTCTTCATGAAGCTCCGTCTCCTCTCACAGAAACCCAAACGGGCCCAAGGATCACACACACGCTTCTTGTCCATGCATCCTGAAGCAAATTTGCAAGCACAAGATGGAAACTAGCATACGCTTTAACAATGCAGGAGGGGGAAAACAGTGTAAATGCTTTGTTACTGTTATAATTAAAGGGATAGTTCACCAAAAATGGAAAATTACCTCCTCATTAGTTCTTCCTCATGTGGTTTTTATGAGTTTATTTCTTCTGTTGGACACAAAAGAAGTGTTTTGCTTACCGTAAAGACGCTGGATGCCCCAGATATCATCTTGAGCGATGTTCCTCTGACCCGTGTATGTTGCATTAGGGTGCATTAATGCATTGGGGTCCTGTGAATGCCAGAGGCCTAAAGCGTGACCGATTTCATGAGCAGCCACTTGAACCAGGTCATTCAACCACACGCCTGTGCAGAAAAAAAACACCATCAAGATCAGAGAGAGAATCAATGAAGGACTGACCTGTAATGCATGGCAATTTATACTACTATATGTTTAACATACGCTACAATGAATGCAAAGTAACTGTGAGGAATTGAGCCAATTTTAAATGATGTTCAGAAATGATGATCAACAATTATACAATCACCGGCCACTTTATTAGGTACACCTTACTAGTACCGGGTTACCTTCAGATGCGCTTTAATCCTTCATGGCATAGATTCAACAAGCTACTGGAAATATTCTTTGGAGATTTTGCTCCATAGTGACATGATAGCATCACACAGTTGCTGCAGAGTTGTTCGCTGCACATCCATGATGACAATTCCACAACATCCCAAAAGTGCTCTATTGGATTGAGCTCACACAATTCTCTGCATTTTGCACAATTTTCATGCAGAAAATCTTTTGTTTTTACAAGGAACACACTGTCATTCTCAATTGTAAAGTCAGTTGCCCTATACTTTGCATACTAACTCATCACATGAGTAAACACCTGTCACACAGAATTGCAATTTAGAAATCAGAGCTCATCTGGTTCATAACTGGTTCTCTGCCCACCCGTGTTTTTTAGTTGTGTATCTCCCTCCATTTTCTCCATTCCTCAAACCTATTGAGGATTTTTTTCTTTTGCCTGGAGATGTAAAGTGTATGCCCGAAATCCACACACACGTATACCCCTTCTCCAAGCTCTAGCAGTTGATGCTTATCGTGGCTGGATTCGCCATGCAAGGTAACATATTCCCCACAGCTTGGCCAGACCAAAACAGAAAAGAGGATGCAGTATAGCTGTTTTTCTATTTTTACTGTAACTGTATTTAGTAAATACTTCTGTTGATGGCATATGTAGACCACAATATCTGCAACTGTGTGTTGGTTGTGATGAACACTGTGTACACTGTATTTGTGGGGAAAATACAGTGTGCAGAGTTACTGAAGTTTGTCCTGCGCGCTTGCGTTTTTTTTTTAGTTACTTCTTTGGTTTGGTGCGTTAATCTTATTGTTGCTATTGTTCAAAAGAAGGTAATGATTCGCACTCAATTGCTTCGTACTGTTTTTATTTTTACTTTTGCTTACATTTTACAGGTGATAACAGACAGTTATCAGCCACGAACAGTACGAAGCAATTGAGTGCGAATCATTACCTTCTTTGGGGAAAATACAGTAAAATATATTTGGTATTTGTGTGTTTTGTATAAAAACAATACTCTGAAATATTTTACAATGCACTTCTGTAGGCCTATGTACTGTCTGTAGTACGTGTAACACTGAACAAAAAAAGGCTTACAGAAAGTCATTATGATGAATGGAGAAGAAGTGGTCAGAGTGTTTTACACTTAGCACATCAGTGTTTAACTGATCTTATGAATGTCTACTCATGTGACGGTTTGTGTGTGTCATTTGAAAACAAAATACCATTTTGAGAAGAAATCCCATTGTTTTGAACGTAGTTTCATTTTGCAGAAGAATTGAAGATTTTTGCCCAATGTGTGTGTGTGTGTTTTGTGATTTGTATGTTGAGTTCTGACAATATGAGGCCTGTTCTTAGAAAATGTGTGTAAACAATTGGAAAAAACTGTAAAAAATGTGTGTAATGTGACACGTTTCTGTCTGATATAACATATTCCACGCATACTGCCACTGTAAATAAATGTTATTTTTTGAAGGATTTCACATGTGGCCCTTTACTTGGTTTGCAAAACTTGATGTGGCCCTCGGGTCTAAACTGCTCTAGGGACATCACAGACTAATTTTACAACTTGTAAAAAGGGGCATAACAGGTCACCTTTAAAGGTTCAGGACACCCTGGAGAACTTTTTTTTTTAATATTAAAAACACAGATGTGTGTGTGTTGAGCATCAGTTAAGACAATGTTAGCACCTGTCAGCTTTAATTGTGGGGAAAACTGGATAATTTTGAGCTTTTGTCAGCTCATTTCAGCTTCCGGGTTTAAAATGATTTTTGGGGCGGGATCAAAATCGGCGACGTAGCGCAGTACTGCAAGTGCAATGATGACGCGTCGGTTTCTCATTATTATTCAAAGCGGAGTTTTCTTATCCTATGAGAAGAGCCGGCTGCTGAATTATTCATGAGAGCATGTGCTTTCCGAAGGCAGACCTGCCAGTTTCAAGCAAGCTGTGAGACCCAGACCCACGGCACGCAGTAGCCGTTCATGAAGGCTCGTATGTGTTTGTTTCCATGATCCACTGGGTTTGTTGCATGTTTTTTCCCCGCGATCCTGTCAGGGCAAATCATACAGCAAAGCTGTGTGTGTGATGCTAGCATTTTTGTCGGGAGAGCAGCACGAGAATTGGAGAATGGCGGACGCTGTCTTTTATCAGCAGTTCGTTCACATTCAGACACATCACTGTGCTGCTGCTGTTTGCCTAAATCCTCCAGATTACCAGCAGGACTAATGGTTAAAATAGACAGGTCAGGAGACCTGCTGCACTGAGTCTGCATTCAGATCTAAAATTTAGACCCGGGGATCGAGGGAGAATCCTCATTTATAGTGTGTACATGAACACGATTATCTTTATAATGATATAAATTGTGGTTATGTGTATATGAAATTACGAATAACAAATGTAGCAGGGCATTAAATTACTGTTTGTTTCTTTGCATTTTAACTTTGTAAACTATAAACTCATGCGTCTCCTCACGGTTTGTCTCAATTTGTGAGCTAACCGACTACAACAGTTTTTCGCTCCCCTTCTCCCCTGCTGGCCACGCCCACTCCTGCTCTATGCTCGCGGAGCTCCACGCCCATTAATCATGCATCTTTTGAAAAAATTCTGAAGTAGACTTTAACCGAAAGTGGGGGGTGTCATGGCCCTTTAAAATGCATCAATAAAACAGCCCTCCGTTGCACAGCACTTCCAAAGATAATTTCACAAGAGGCCAAATAATTTGCTTTTCAACTGTGTATGTATATTCTAACCAGCACATGCATACAATTTAATAGCAAACTGTGTATGTATTGCACACCTTGTTTCCAGCTGAAGCGGGATTTGCCCAGAATCCAGAACTCATGGTTGTCAAAGTGTATTTCTCCACGTGGAGGGAGGAAAGCGTGTGCCAGCTCACCGTTCAGTCCATCAAAACACGGGTGCAGTGGAGAGCGCCAGCAATCTGTGTGGTTGTACGTGTAGAAACCTGTCTCAGAAAGCGCAGATTAAAAACACTCCGTCAGCCTGCCAAACTGCACACGCCGGCACATTTATTGACTTACCTATGGTGATGTCGGCACTTTTGCTGGTGTTGGTGATTTCCGTGAAAGTCAGAGGAGAGACGTCGCTCCATTTGGTGAAGGCGATGCTGATGGCTTTACGGGTATCGTCTTTATTCAGCGTGTTGGGGAACTTTGTGATCCTTCAGGAGGAAGAACAGTAAATTACTTCCAGCCAGAAATGAGTGACTTGCTTTCAGAGGGTCTTTGTGTCTGCTATCAATCAAACAGCACATCTACACAAAGCTCAACGCTCCTGAAATCAATCTGCTGTTCCTGAAATATCTCCAGGCATCTGAAGGCCAGATTACTGCTTTTGTCTCACGCATCTCTCTGTTCATACGTGTGGCTTTCCTCAGGCTAGTAGCATATTTATCATTTATATTGTCCTTCATGTTGTATTCAGATTAAAAAGAGCATTGATTTTTATTTATTTTTATTTATTATTTATATTTTCACAATTACTTTCAAATACAAATAATAATTAAGTCCATTTTTGACCAGGGTTTGTACTGTGTGGAGCACCATTAGGTGTCAAAATGCTTTTGTTCAAATTATCTCTGAATGGTACATTAATGTCCAAAAACGCTGTGATAAACTTATGCCCACTGCAGCATGAAACCAGCCTTTAGTCTGAAAGTGTATCAAATAATTATATAAAATAATAATAATATATATATATACCCCAGGAGTAAGAATAATTTGGCGGTCCCAACCTGGTATTAGTAAGGTGTACCTAATAAAGTGGCTGGTGTGTGTGTGTATATATATATATATATTAGGTATTCTAGGTATATATTAGGAACTTGTATTCCTCTGAGATTTTGGTCCATATTGACATGATAGCATCACGCAGTTGCTACAGAGTTGTCGGCTGCACATCCATGATGCCAATCTCCCGTTCCACCACATCCCAAAGGTGCTCTATTGGATTGAGAACTGGTGACTGTGGAGACTATTTGAGTACAGTGAACTTATTGTCATGTTCAAGAAACTAGTCTGAGATGATTCGTGCTTTATGACATGGTGCGTTATCCTGCTGGAAGAAGGCATCAGAAGATGGAGACACTGTGGTCATAAAGGGATGGACATGGTCAGCAACAATACTCAGGTAGGCTGTGGTGTTGACACGATGCTCAATTGATACTAATGGGCCCAAAGTGTGCCAAGAAAATATCCCCCACACCATTACACCACCACCAGCCTGAACCATTGACACAATGCAGGATGAATATATGCTTTCATGCTGTTGACACTAAATTGTAACCCTACTATGCGAATGTTGCAGCAGAAATCCAGACTTATCAGACGAGGCAACGTTTTTCCAATCTTCTATTGACCAGTTTTGGTGAGCCTGTGTGAATTGTAGCCTCAGTTTCCTGTTCTTAGCTGTCAGGAGTGGCACCAGTGTGGTCTTCTGCTGCTGTAGCCTATCTGCCTCAAGGTTGGACGTGTTGTGTGTTCAGAGATGCTCTTCTGCAGACCTCGGTTGTAACGGTTATTTGAGATACTATTGCATTTCTATCAACTCAAACCAGTCTGACCATTCTCCTCTGACCTCTGGCATCAACAAGGCATTTGTGCCCTTATCCAATCATTGAATTGGATTAGACCATTAGCATCACGCTAAAAAATAAATAAATAATATTTTTCTCCTGACAGAATTGGTGTAACTGAGTCAGATTTGTTGGCTGTCTTGCTCACACAAGCTTTTTCAACTCTCCCCACAAGTTTTCTATAGGATTGAGATCAGGGCTTTGTGATGGCCACTCCAAAACATTCACTCTGTTGTCCTTTAAGCACATTTTAACTACTTTGGCAGTGTGCTGAGGGTCATGATCTGTTTGGAAGACCCATTAGTGGCCAAGATTTAATCTCCTGGCTGATGTCTTGAGATGTTGCTTCAGTATTTCTACATAATGTTCTTTCTTCATGATGCCATCTATGTTGTGAAGCGGACCAGTCCCTCCTGCAGCAAAACAACCCAAAACAACAGGATGCTGCCGCCCCCATACTTCACAGTTGGGATGGTGTTCCAAGGCTTGTAAGCTTTCCCCTTTGTCCTCCAAATGTAACACTGGTCATCATGGCCAAACAGCTCAATCTTAGGTCCATCAGGCCACAGGACATGTCTCCAAAAATAGTATTTTCCCAGTGTAAATTAGCAAATGGTAATCTGGCTTTTTTGTTGATTCTGACTTGTTGATTTTCCCATGTTGTCACACAAGGAAGCAGTGTGTTTTTCCTTAAATACTATTCTACAGTTGTGCCTCCAATTAACTCAAATGTTGTCAATTAGCCAATCAGAAACTTCCAAAACCTTGACTCCATCATCTAAGCTTTTCATAATAATCTTATTGTATGTAAACTTGACTTTCAAGAAAAGTTATAACAACTTCTCAAAAAAATATCTCTCTCCTTATTCTGCTATTAAGCAGAGAAGAAACAAATGTGATCATGCTAACTTACCTAAAAGAGATAAATGCTTAGTCACATTAAAATCTGACTTTTTTAAAATGGTTATGTGCCTTTGTTTACAGTGTACTGTATGTATACTCCTGGTTTCAACTGTAAACATTCAAACAGTATTGGAACTAGTGCAGGATAAGTAAATGATGACAGAATGTTGATTTCGGGGTGGACTGCCCATTTAAACTCCATTTGTCAGTGTCTCTCACTTGTAGCTGACGTTGAAATGCTCCCATCTGTATCCCAGTGGGTTGATGGCGTAGCGTTTGGATCTCACTGCTCCTCCATGGGTCTTTGAGTCCACAGACGACAGTTTCTGCGCACATGGTTTACGCAACTGAAAACTGCCAACCTAAGAGAGACAGAAGAAAGATGCTGACGTGTCTTCAATGCACAGTGGGTCCAAGTATGAGATCACATTAAAAAAATAAATAAAAATCAACATTTAAACCAGCATATTCATTTATTCCTTCATTTTCTTGTCGGCTTAGTCCCTGTATTAATCCGGGGTCGCCACAGCGGAATGAACCGCCAACTTATCCAGCTCGTTTTTACGCAGCGGATGCCTGTCCAGCCGCAACCCATCTCTGGGAAATAAACCAGGATATTATCATGTAATAAAGTATGTATTTAAAACAATGTGGATATCAGTAACATCAGAGGTCCCTTAAAGGGATTGTTTATCCAAAATAATAAATATAATAAAAATAATGACTGAAACACACTTTGAAAAGTTAAAAAGTTTTACTATTTTAAGTTTTGGGTGAACTATCCTCACTGTAAAAAACATCTGTTAATGAACGGTTTGTGATTTTGTGATTCACAAGTTTTTATTTACGGTTGTAAATTGCATTATGGGATGTTGATCTCTGCACTGTCGACTGTTGATGTAGGAAATTCAACTACAGTTTAACAAAAAGTTTTTGGTACTGTGATATACAAAAACACGGACAATAAGTGCGTTGACCCATGGCTGCAGCCGGTGATCGACGAGATTAGCTCAAAGTTGCAGCAGTCATGATGAGCGATCACATTTATTTATTTGTTCATAACAACAAAAGATTTACAGTACAAATAAAATAGAACACAGTGTCTACAAATGAGTTCATTTTTTAACCATTAGGTTTTTAACCATAAGTTTTTATGCAGCGGATGCCCTTCCAGCCGCAAGCCATCCTTGGGAAACATCCACACACACTACGGACAATTTAGCCTACCCAGTTCACCTGTACCGCATGTCTTTGGACTGTGGGGGAAACCGGAGCACCCGGAGGAAACCCACGCAAACGCAAGGAGAACATGCAAACTCCACACAGAAACACCAACTGAGCCGAGGCTCGAACCAGCGACCTTCTTGCTGTGAGGCGACGGCACTACCTACTGTGCCACTGCATCACTTGTTTTGAAACTTTTGAATCGGAATTTGTCTAATAATAAACGTGAAACACACGTGGTTGTTGTCATGCGGTGAACTCGCCCACTCATGTCATATTGGTGTCGTCATCACAGCACCAGCAGTCGCCCTTCAGATGCTGCACCGGCTGAATCAGTCGTCTGATCTCGAAGCACTGTCGATACTTTAATGCCACATGTGACAGTTATGTGGCGTCCGCGCAGCATCAATCCGGACAACATTTCTAACCAGCATGCACCGCTTTAAGACTTCGATCGATCTGCGCAGCGCTGCATGAAGTCTAACACCTAATACATCACTTTAAACCAAAAACTAATGTGCTATTTTCAAATTTTCAAGGTTAAACGTTGTTGACCAAGATCCCATAATGCAACTCAAAATCATAAACTGAGAGAAAAAGCATCTTAAAATATGAAAATATGACTTACAGATATTTATTACAGGGCTCAAATGCAATAAATTATAAACGCAAAACTTTTAAAGGAGGATTCACTGATGAAAGCTGCAGTATTTGCAGTCAGTGGCTCAGTGTTTTGGAAGTTCTGTCACCCATATGTGAAGCAAAGACCCTCCTCCCTTCGCCATGACCTTCAACACTTTCTCTCTCTCTCTCTCTCTCTCTCTATGCTCATTCTTTTGATCCTTGCAGAGATTTTACAACTCTTTCCCAAAAAAATGCATGTGAATCACCAATGAATGCCTCAGTGTGGCAAATGGCTGAGTAAAGTCAAGATTTTAGGACAGCTTTTCACAATATCGCTCCATTAGTTAGACAAACTACTAATGAAAAAACATGTCTAATGCATGCATTAATCTTAGCTCAAGTCAAAATCAACATTTACTAACACATGACTAAAATCTAAAGTTAGCAGTTAACATTAAAGCTGTTTAACTGACAATAGCACACATTAAAATACTAACTTTCTGTCAGACTTTACAATGAGCTCTCGTTTAGTTAATGCATTTTGCTAACATGAACTAAGCATGAACAATACTTACAGCATTTATAAATCATAATAATAGTTCTGTATTGTTACAGTTTTTCCCAGTTGTTTACACACATTTTCTGAAAGCATGTCTCATATTGTCAGAACTCTACAATGTGTAAAAATAGTTGGGTTAAAAACACCCCAAAATATAACCCAACTATTGGTTATTATAGCACCTTCCCAACTATTATGGCACCAACTATTTTAGCACCTTCCCAACTATAGGTTATTTTAACCCAATGCATTGGGTTATTTTGATTAAATGTTTTTTCCCATTCTGGTATTTCTATTGCTACTATTACTTGTACTACTATTAGTTTTAGAATTATGGCTGTGTAAATAAATAACATATAGTTTTTAAAAAGATTGAAAATGCTTTATTTCCATTACATTTTAGTTCCAGACACTTATGTTAAAATAAATCAAGAATCATAAACAATGAAGAACAAAGTTCAGACAGGTATAAACTGTGCAAGCAGAAAATCCTGTGCAGAATATGGAGCCCTGTGTGCTGTAGAGGCTGTCCAGCAGCTGCAGCAGGCGTCACTCAATGTCTACAATGTACATTACATTTTAGCCACATCCAAACGCTTCTAAAAGATAGTCTTGGATGGTGTAATGGATATAAAAACCATGACACAGAGGTCATTTGTAAAAAAAAAATAACAAAGTTATTGCGATAGAGCTAATATAAACTTTACAACGCAAAAACAACATTACGTACGCATATTAATACAGCTGTTCTGTGTCAGTTGAATCAGTTGACTGTTGAAATCCATTTTTTTTAACCCAACTTGTTGAGTTATTAAATACATAACCAAATAAAGGTTAAAAATGACCCAACAAAGCCCCAAATACTTAACTCAGCTGGTTGAGTTATTAATAAATAACCAAATAAAGGTTAAAAATGACCCCACAAAGCACCAAATACTTCACTCAGCTGGTTGAGTTATTAATAAATAATCTAATAAAGGTTCAAAATTACCCAACAAAGCATCAAATACTTCACTCAGCTGGTTGAGTTATTAATAAATAATCTAATAAAGGTTCAAAATTACCCAACAAAGCATCAAATACCTCACTCAGCTGGTTGAGTTATTAATAAATAATCTAATAAAGGTTCAAAATTACCCAACAAAGCATCAAATACCTCACTCAGCTGGTTGAGTTATTAATAAATAATCTAATAAAGGTTAATAATGACCAAACAAAGCACCACATATTTAACCCAACTGGTTGAGTTATTATTAAATAACCTAATAAAGGTTAAAAATTACCCAACAAAGCACCAAATATGTTAACCGCAACCATTGGGTTAAATAAATAACTTGAAGTTTCACTTTGGTTATCAAACACAGCTCATAAACATTGAGGCAAAGTTTGTTTTAAATTCACACATTCAGACCCTCTCATTAATAAAATCATTTCAAGAAGATGATCTTTGCAAAGTTCTGAACAGTGAAATCATATGATATCCGCCTGAGACCCGCTCATTGACTTGTGTCCTCTATAGTGGACGTTGCGTTTTCATGAATTTTCTTTGTACTTTTTGAGCTACTCAGTCAAGTCCTGTTGTACTGTTCAGAGGACATCCTGGGCTTTCTAGTGATATGTCATTTGGTTGCTGGCAAGCTAGAAACCACTTCTTACACTGCATCCAAGATGGCCGACATAAAAAAAGCACATTTTATAGGAGAGAGGCATGTAAAATTGAGCTTTATAAATGTTTTTTTACTATTATTATTACACATATATATTTGTTTATTAAAGTGTCAGGAACAATACATTTAGCTTTCAAAGCTGTTAACTTGTTTGTGTTTCAAAATATTCTCTGTTTTTAAATGTCCACTATAGTGGACACCAGGACCATCTTAATGTAATTATTGACTGCATGCTGTAAGAGGCAGAACTGCAGCAGGGATGATTCTTTAGAGGTGGGAGTAATGCCTAGTTCAGATTTTAGCCCCAATTTTGAGGACAGGTTTTAAGAAATCGGAGACAAAAGCCTGAAATCACAGGTAAATTGGTGCTCGTGCACGTACAGTAAGTGACAATCTCACAGTATGAACTGTCAAAGACGCGATCTGAGAGAATCGCCGATGAGTCGCTGAAGCCCGTGAGGTATTTGGCGTGCTGAATATCTGGAGCTGTCAGCGATTCAAATCATGCCGTGTGAAATGAGTTTGACTGAAAATAACATTGGCGATCTCCTACAGCCAATGAGAGAGCGGCATTCACTTGTGTGTGTGTGTGCGTGTGTACCTGAAGGCCAGCGGGAGGTTGGAGGAGAAGTTAAAAGCACTCATTTACGGTTTCTTTGGACCCAAGAAATGGAGGAAAAACTAGTGGAGGATCGAGAGGAGCATCTGTGTCTGTTTGACGTTTCATACAGAAAGAAATTAGTTTATTAGTAACGTTGAGGAGAAATTGCTAATACCTTCAAACCCAGGTGAGCAAACATGTACATGTTCTACCCCATTAAAGGCTTCTTTCTCATTATGTCGTTAATAACAAAAGATATACGACGTGTTTTTGGCTGTGAGATGTAGTTTGGATGAAGTTGCCGGTGATTCTTCCTATTGTAAAGTCATGCAATGTGAAAGCCCCTGTCGCCGATCCATCTTGCAGTGTCAACAAAGCAGCGACAAAACGCTAGCCCAGATAGTCATGCAGGCTGAACTCGGCATAAGTCACACATGTGCAAGTCACAAGCAAGTCTCGAGTCATAACCTTCAAGTCTCAAGCAAGTCAAGTCAATTTTTGTCAGACTCAAGTCAAGTCGAGTCACTGATTTTTATCAAATTATTATTAGTTTTTTAAAATTTATATTTACATGCATAACTTTTGGTTTTGTATGTAATGCATAATATTTAACAAACGGTTATTAATTTAACAAAAACTAAAATGATTTTGAGTCATTTAACTCAAGTCCAAGTCAAGTCTCAAGTCATGAGTCAAGTTCGAGTCAAGCAAGTCTCAAGTTCTAAATTTTGCGACTTAAGTCAAGTCATGTGACTCGAGTCCCCCATCTCTGTTAGATAGTTGAGGGAGACACTGATTTAGAGTCTGACAATCAGACAATTAAAGAATGACAATCAGTTTTAAATCGCTTTTATGTTTAATTTGTTTTGGATTAACATCACTTCTTTCATTTATTTATATATATTTTTTTTGAATTTGGCTCTCTTTCAGACTAAACTGCTCCAGGAATTTCAATACAAAAGGGAAAGGAAAGGCTTTTGTTTAGTTTTTGTTACATTAATATTGGATTAATATCCCTTTACAGCCATATCCTGTACAGTTTTTTGTTGTGTTGCTGTTGTTTCGAACTGAAATTGTCCTGTGGATCAGTACATGCTGTAAAATTAAAAACAAAATGTAAAAACTTCAAATTGTAGAATTTTTTAAAATCCCAAAAATGTAGGAAATCACAGAAAAAATATTATTTGGGTCTCAGGAGGATATCAGCAGCCAAGCATTATCAAAGTACAGAATTGCTCACAGACAAATAAATAGTGCTAATGTTGTTTTCAAGTCATATTTACATGTGATTTCAGACCGAATATCTAAAATGCCATGGAAAAAAAACAGGGAGCCTATAACAAGTTGTCACTGGTCGAATGTGCGAATGAATATAAACCAACTTTACCTCAGCCTCATGAACCGAAGTTATGGAGCTCTTACCGTGTGTTCAGTCCACGCAGGCACGGCCACCGCATTACTATCCAGCACCATAAGCACAAGAGCACACGAACAAACCCAGAACATCTTGAAATCACAACTTTCCTCACGGATCCACCTTCCACTTTGCGACTTTGCGTTTCATCCATATATTCTGGAGCGGTGAAGCATTTTTCCACAGTGAACGCGCATTCAGACGCGCGCGCATCCGAGCCGGAGACAGATGTGTGCGCGGAGAGTGTTTAATACAGGAGACTTTATCTAGTGCACTTCTGCTTCTTGCCGTGAACTTTGTCTCTCTCCAGGGTGCAGGAAGGATCCCGCAGGAGCAGAATAAAGCACCGCCCTGCTCCAGTCTGATGTCCTCCTCCTCCTCCTCTTCATCTCCTCGCGCTTCTGTTTATCAACTCGCTGTCACGCGAATATCTGGAGGACTGCGAGCGCTCGCTTTTCCTCAGCGAAATCACCGAACAAAAATCACAATCACGAAATAATACAGACAAATTGCTGACATTTTAAAATGTTTCCAAAGTTGGTGACACAGTGGTTAGCACTTTCGCCTCACAGCAAGAAGGTCGCTGGTTCGAGTCCCGGCTGGGCCAGTTGGTATTTCTGTGTGGAGTTTGCATGTTCTCCCCGTGTTGATGTGGGTTTCCTCCTGGTGCACCAGTTTCCCTCACAGTCCAAACTCATGTGCTATAGGTGAATTGGATAAACTAATTTTGCTGTAGTCTATTATGTGTGTGTGTGGGGGTGTTTCCCAGTACTGGGTTGCAGCTGGAAGGGCATCCACTGTGTAAAACATATGCTGGATAAGTTGGCGGTTCATTCTGCTGTGGCGACCCCTGAGGAATAAAGGGACTAACTCGAAGGAAAATGAATAAGAAATGCAGAACGGCAATATTCAGGTCACATTACCACGCCAATATCCTCACGTCGGTGTGTGCCGTATTTGTAATATTGATCTGATCAGCTTAGATAAAAATCACAAACATCTACGCATACCTTTTTTTGGATTGCAGAAATCGGTCACTAAAATATGGAAATATTTGGAATTTATGGAAAATTTTCTGGTCATTTTGAGAGACTATCGTGAGATATAAAGTCATCCCCCCACCACCACATCAAACTTTGTTTGATCTCACAAATCCTCTAATAAAAATAAAATAAATAATATATTAATGTATTATTATCATTTAAAAAAGTGTCATAAATAAACAAAAGTTGTGTTAAATGCAATGCCACAAAAATGAGGTTTTACATTTAAATAGTTTTCTGAAAATATGAAAATAGATTTACATGAGAGTAAATGCTTTCAGAGCATTATATGTTTTCAGAGATTTTGTTTTGTTTTGCGATTGTTCATTCACAAAATGGGGAAAAAAAAAGTTTGGTTTACACTGAGCCCACTTTTTCTTATGTATATGGCATTTCCTAATAACATGAACAAATAAAAAATGTCCTTTACAATTCAAGTTCTTATTATCAGAAAAAAACAATACATCAGATAAACACATTTCTATCTTACATACCTGACAAAAGTCTTGTCGTCAATCCCAGTTGTAAGAGCAACAAATAATAACTTCTAGTTGATCATTTGGAAAAATGGCAGAAAGTAGATCTGTAACGGCATCCCAATCATCACAAACACTGCAGAAGACCTACAGAAACCAGCATGGAGCCAATATTCTGACAGAAATCAGTCAAGTTTGGTGAAGGAAAAGTCATGGTTTGGGGTTACATTTAGTATGGGGGCGTGCGAGAGATCTGCAGAGTGGATGGCAACATCAACAGCCTGAGGTATCAAGACATTTGTGCTGCCCATTACATTACAAACCACAGGAGAGGGCAAATCCTCCAGCAGGATAGCGCTCCTTCTCATACTTCAGCCTCCACATCAAAGCTCCTGAAAGCAAAAGAAGGTCAAGGTGCTCCAGGATTGGCCAGCCCAGTTAACAGACAAGAACATTATTGAACATGTCTGGATAAGATGAAGGAGGAGGCATTGAAGATGAATCCAAAGAATCTTGATGAACTCTGGGAGTCCTGCAGAACGCTTTCTTTGCCATTCCAGATGACTTTATTAATCAGTGATTTGAGTCATTGCAGAGATGTATGGATGCAGCCCTCCAAGCTCATGATGGAGTCAGACACAATATTCATTCTGTTTCCACTGCAGCATGACTTTATATTCTATACTGGACATTATTTCTGTTCAGTGACAAGACTTTTGTCTAAGCAGAGTCAGACCTTACTGTCCTACTTAATTCATTAAAAATCAAGGAATGATCATATTTTATTTTGGTAAAATAAGTGTATCTAGAGGCCTTTGACTTTCATATAAGCCACTTCTGATACCAAATGATCAACTAGAAGTAGGAACTTGTTCCTAAAACTTAGAGAGGCGACAAGACTTTTGTCAGGTAGTGTACTCCATTTGTTTGTTATTAAACAACTCCAAAATTTCCAATAACTCATTTATTCTGTCTGTGTCATGATGACAATACATAATAGTTTTCTAGACACTAGAATTCAGCTGAAAGTGCAATTTAAAGACTTGATTAGTTTAATTAGCAAGTCATTAGACGACAGTGGTTTGTCCTGGTGATAATTGGAGACAAAAAAATCTTAAAGGGCTAATAATATTGACCTTAAATTTGTTTAAATAAAATTAAAAAATGCTTTTAATCCAGCCAAACTAATATAAATAAGACTTTCTCTAGAATAAAGAAATATTATGGGAAATACTGTGAAAATATCCTTGCTCTGTTAAACGTCACTTGGGAAATATTTGAAAAAAAGAATCAAAATTTCACATAAATTGTATCTTCGACTATATATATACACTGTAAAAAAAAAATCCTTAAACCAAGCTGCTGGAAATAAACCACGAAACAGGCGTTAAATTATAGAAATACAGTAAAATAATGGATAGTAAATACAGAAATTTCTGTAATTACATTTTTTTCTCTTTTATAATTATTTCCCAAATTATGTTTTACAGAGCATGGACATTTTCACAGAATTTCCAGTTTTCATTTTAAGGTCAAAATTATTAGCCCCTTTAAGCAATATTTATTTTCAATAGTCTACAGAGCAATTCATCATTATACAATAACTTGCCTAATTACCCTATCCTGCCTAGTTAACCTAATTAACCCAGTTAAGCCTTTAAATGTCACTTTAAGCTGTATAGAAGTGTCTTGAAAAATATCAGGTCAAATATTATTTACTGTCATCATGACAAAGATAAAATAAATCAGTTATTAGAGATGAGTTAATGAAACTATTATGATTAGAAATGTGTTGAAAAAAATCTTCTCTCTGTTAAACAGAAATTGGGGAAAAAATAAACAGGGGCTAATAATTCAGGGGGGCTAATAATACTGACTTCAACTGTAAATATATACTAGCAAAAGGAACATACAACTAACAAAATTAACATGTATTTTATTAGCTTCTCAGCTGTTAACAAAAAACTTTTATAATTACAAAGACACTGAAGGCTCCACAACGTAATGTTTATATCTGAGGTTTCATTGCTATCATGCTTAAATCCCATGTCAACATGCAGGGGAGCATTTTAAAAGGGCCACAAATTAGGCATGCATAAACTGCGCTCATTAAAAATCTATTGTGTAGAATTGCAGATTTTGGCATAACACAAGCTATTCATAGCCAATGGCCCTCAGTCTCCAGCCCCAAACTCATTAGTCTGCTTGACCCTCGGAGGGTTCGGGAACGGCCTGGGCTTTTCACAGCGCGTTACTTTACCCTCACATCACTGTGGAGAATAGACCGTCACTTATGATGGATTTTTTCTTTGACCTTCAGGGTTAATATACAGACCGCTCGATGTTTGGCTTCGCATTCATGATGCAGTGGGCAGCTTTTGTAGATCTCTACAAAATAAAAACGTTCATCTTGTATAGCAAACAAAGACTAGACGAAGGCCATTCAGAAGAAGACTGCTAATCTAATATTTGAAAATTGCAACCGCCTTAGAGAGATTGATATGCAAAGCAAGACCCTTGAAGAGAATTTACCCAATCCTAATATACACTCAACGGCCACTTTATTAGGTACACCTTTCAACTGCTCGTTAACGCAAATTTTTAATCATCCAATCACTCAGCAGCAGCAGCAGCAACAACTCAATGCATTTAGTCATGCAGGCATGGTCAAGACAACCTGCTGCAGTTAAAAACCGAGCATTAGAATGGGGAAGAAAGGTGATTTAAGTGACTTTGAATGTGGCATGGTTGTTGGTGCTAGACTGGCTGGTCTGAGTATTTCAGAAACTGCTGAAGAAAGGAATAGTGTCATTTTCAGCTTAGTTTAGGTCAATAAAAGCATTGATATTGCAAAACTTAGCAATTATAAAATCAGTAACTGCATATCTAGCCAAACTGAATTAATGTTGATTCAGTTTAGTTCAATTATAAAGCAAGCTCTACAGAAGCCAATGGTGTCATTTTCAGCTCAGTTTAATTCTACAACAGCATTGATGTAGAAAAGTTCAGCAAAATGTGTTCTGGAGGCGGAGTATATGCAAATACACACGCCCTTGTGAGGTCACGTTTTACTTTGTATCCAAACCAGTCATTTTTTGCACTTCTTTATTAGGAGAAAAAAAGTGTTTTAATCTATGCAACTTGCAGGATGTTTTAAAGGCATCAAGTCCTCTTATATATCCAAATTTTAGGGCACATTTGATTTCTCATGTCATGACCCCTTAAAAATGGACAATTACAATGTTAATGTTTTAAACTTTGTTATTCGGCTCATTTTAGATTAATGTTGATTCAGTTTAGTTTAGTCTAAAACAAGCTATACAGAAGGCAATAGTGCCATTTTCAGCTCAGTTTAGTTCAATTAGTGCATTGATGTCGAAAAGTTCAGCAATTATAAATTCAGTAGCTCCATATTCAGCTTATTTTAATCGATGTTGATTCAGTTTAGTTCAATTATAAAACAAGCTCTAGGTAAAGGCAATAGTGCAAATTTCAGCTCAGATTAGCTCGATAACAGCATTGATGTTGCAAAGTTCTTCGATTATAAAATCAGTACCTCCATATTCAGCTCATTTTAGATTAATGTTGATTCAGTTTATTTCAATTATAAAACAAGCTCTAGGGAAAGGCAATAGTGCAAATTTCAGCTCAGATTAGCTCAATAACAGCATTGATGTTGCAAAGTTCAGCGATTATAAAATCAGCAGCTCCACAGAAGTCAACCGTGTCATTATTCACCAAGCTGACGGCTGGTTTTCAGTCAATCTCGTTCGCATAGCAGTGACATCAACATAAAGTATGGAATTCCTGGAGCAGAGAGAAACGTGGATTTGAAGAAGGGCACCTGAAAGGCAGCCTCATATCTTTTGCGAGTGGTTTTGAATCTGGCTGGAGGCCCAGGCTTTGGCTGCGCTCCAGGTGACTGCGGAACCGGGGGCTGCTTGACCCTTTGCTGTCACTCACTCTGGGAAAGAGCGAAAAAAGAAAGGGAGAGGGAGACGGAAGGACGGAGGAGAAAAAGAGTAGCGGGACAGGAGATCCTCTTTCAGGGGCCCTGAGAGATGAGAGTTTAATTAGCCATCGATCCATCAGTAGGTCTTCTGGCTCCTGCACCCACTTAATGATTGGCCATGACGTCAGCCTAAATACTTGCACTAATGAGTGACTTCCCACACAAACAGCGCCTGTCCATCCCTGCTGCAGAGGGAAGAAAAACCCAGAATGTTTCACAACGTGCGAACCACGCCTTCAGACCACCAACTATCAGACGACCACAACAAATACAAGGCTTTATAAAAGGTATGCGTTGCTGCTTTTATGAAGTTTTCTTCTTATAATTTTTTTTTTAAAATATAAAAAAAATAAATGCACTTTTTAAAGAGCTTCTCAGAATATTTGAAGACATCATCACCACTTCAAGTTGTAATCAGAATCAAACCTTTAACTTAATAAACAGTTGCTGATAAACAGTTGTAGTTAAATAAGTCAATGGAGCACAACCATGCAAAAGTTCTCTGAAAAGCTCGAAAGTAACTAAGCTTAAATGAATAAATTTATTGAAACTATTCATCTGATTTCTAGGACTGATTGGGAGCACATTTAGCTTAGCTTAGCATAGATCATTGAATCAGATTAGACCATTAGCAACTTTCTCAAAAGTAAAAAGTGTTTCAATAAATTCCCTATTAAAAGCTTGGTTATTCTGTAGCTACATTGTGTACTACAGGGCAATGATATTACGCAATGCAATGCCAGTAAATAGTCCGCAGCTATGTATAAGTGCTTCGTAATATCATTGCGCCTGCTGCAGCAAAGTCCCTTGATTGCTGCGCCAGAATAGTTCTCAGCCATATCGGCATACAAAATAGCAACTTTTTATTTCTGTTGGACATATTATATGACGTAACTACAGAGTAGTCAAGCTTTATATAGGAAAATATATATATTTTTGAATTTTTGAGATGCTAATGGTCTAATCAGATTCAATTGTCTATGCTAAGCTAAGCTAAAAGTGTTTCCAGAGATCGGCAGAATGGATAAAAAAAAAAAAAATGGTAAAACCGTTTAACTATAGGGGGACTTGCAAAATGAGCCTATTTCCAAACAACAGAGAGGGAGAGTATCTTTAAAGATGGCTGACAAAATGGGAGAACTTGTATGCAGGATATATAAAAAAAACAAACACTACTAAGAGTAATTGATTACACATTTTATTAGGATCAAGACGAAAGTCACAAAGTTACCAAATGAAGACAATACGCTGTAAACGGAGCCACATCATCTCTCAGAGCAGCTACACACTGAGGTCCGACCACAAACGATCAACAAGAAGCTCATTTAAACCTGCAGGGTCGAGTCTGTAGTGTTGGCTGTAGCAGAATGTAGATCACACAAGTGTAGAGGGCAGAATTCTCATCAACAGCAAGGTCATTTCCTAAACGGTGCGTCGCTTAACTAAAACGCCTTTGCATTAGGATAAATCCTCTGGCTATTTGGCAGAGTTTATACACACATGAAAGGAACCAGTGCAGTGTTCAAGACCTTAAAGGAAGACCTGCTTTTATGTTTTGACATCTCCAAAATCTCCTGCCTTAGATCAGGAGCAAGGAAAGAGGTTTAGAAATCATCCCTGGGAACAATCAGAGGGACTCCCTAATATTCCAGCCCCCTCTCCTCTTATGTATTTAGTGAAATGCGCCTTTTTGAAGTTGCATTTGCTCCACAAAACTAATCTCAAGAGGAATGTTGAAATGCAGGGAGAGATTTGACCCAAGCAAAAGACGGACTCGGTGCACTTGACAAACTCAAGCGGTAAACTTCAGTCAAGTAAACAAAGTGGTAAACGACCATGAGAGTCACTGAACGAAGGTTAAGCACACAAATGCAATGTCCCTGAGAGATGTTGGGGACCCCGGACTCTCACACACATACACACGCACACACAAACCAGTCACTATATGACACCAAATGAAAGCTGGACTCCGTGTTATTGTTTTGTTACGGTGTAGATAGCAGCGTATACGCACACAGACAACTGGACATAAGCACTAGTACAATTTGTTGCTTTAAGTCAACCACCCTCGCACCTCCTTTTGGTCACATTGAGAAATCATTTTAGAAATTAAATCGAAAATGTAACATCTGCATATGTAAAACTTGTACCCATGGGGTTTTTGTTGGCTTAACGTTTACACTAATTCACTGAGAACAAGAACGTGGACGATACCCAACTAATACGCCACTACGAAAATGAAGCATGAAGGTTATTTTAATATGATCTCCAGATTTGGCGGGGATTAGAGTGGGAAATGTCCACATTGATAGCGCCTGCGAGCAGGAACACAAGTTCAGTGATAATCACCGGATAAAAAGAGGCCAGAGCCCCACATGAGCTGGGCTTCAATGGGGACTGGGGGTCTGGAATGCATGTTGTGGAATAAAGGAGAACCGAGTGGAGGGGGGGGGGTTACATCTCATCTCATAATAAGTGAACTTCTTTAGGGGTACATGATGATTAACGTCATTTTTATAAGTGCAGATGAACTTCACCTCATGTGTTTTGTTCTTGTTTTGATGGGTATTGTTTTGGATTCCCTTTGTTGATGTTTTGGCTGTGAACAGAGTCCCGTGTAAAGCGCTGAGGAAGGGAGAGCGAGACTATGAATATCTGCTCGCCGTCTCTCCCTCCTCCTCACCGAGGGGCTTCTGTTAGCAGCGGGTCTCATAGATGCCGCTGCGGCCGATGTAACGCACCCATTTGATGACATCATGGTCGCTGTAGTTCAGCTTCGGCTCGAAGACCTTCAGGTAGCGCACTTTCAGCCCTGATGGAGCAAAGGGTACCTAGAAAAGACAGAAAACTATTTCAGCAATGCAAATCTCTGAATAAATCAATGAAAATACTTTTGTATTAGCATAAATGACAAGCCAATTGCACAGGACATACAAAATATGGGTCCCACTGTATATTAAAGGTGCAGTATGCAAGTTTGACACCCAGTGGTTGACCTAGGTATTGCACCCCTGGTTCAAAACACACGCAAGAGCTGGTTGCCAGACTGACGACACCAACAAAGTTTTTTTAGGTCATGCTCTAACTAAAAGCCAACATGATAGAAGAAATATTTTCCATATATATATATATATATATATATATATATTAGAAGCGGCTTCTATTTTTTTTGCAACTGAACAACAGAAAAAACTGACAATGATCGAGATGGGTCTGGCTGCAGACCTGGTGCAGTGCAATCTGGGCTGCATACAATGCTTTTTAATGGGCCCACCAAACCCCACCCCTAATCCTACCCTTCACAGTGACGTCACTAGCTCCATTTGAGTGCATTGTGTCTCACATTGCATCGCTGAGTGATGCAGTCTCAGCTTGCATCATAAAGGCTGCATCCAGATACTATTGCAATGATCAGCACAGGTACACCTCATGTGCTTTATTCAGTGTTAAATGCTAATAATGTGAGTTTGAATGCCCTTTGACATGACGTTTATTGCCATACTACTGAAAGCAGCAGCATAGTTCACCTCAGATCCTAAAAATAAAATAAACCGTTTAAAATTAAACTTTAGAACTGTGACAGTGCAAACCAATACATATCAGTGATTCAGCATCTATATTTAATAACGTTAAAGAGGTTTAATATGCATTAATTAGATTATAAAGCTTACCCTTGCATTGGAGTGCAGCAACTGTTCTATTCTGTGCTTCTGAATGGCTGTAATTAAATTTCTGTCGTGTTTCGTCTGGTGCAACCAGCCAAATTGCTCATCACTGCAAATCTCATCACATAATTTGTTAGGACATGAGGTTACAATGTAACCTGCTCACCTAATGTTTACGTTCATAATATTTATATTATTTGCTATATAATAAAATCATGTGGAACTCTGAATCTGCATCTCATTTCGGAGACTGCAACTGTCCACCGGAGGATGCATTTGGCTCATGGATGCATGCTTTCAGAGCCTTCATGACTGAATGAATCACAACGGCAACCCAGGGTGCTGAAATTTAATTGGCTAAACCAGCAGTGGGCGGGTTAATGGGACCAAAACAAAAACCAGCCCTACCGGCACATAACTCACATTTTCAAAGCAAAATATCTGACTTCAGCATTGCTTTTCAGGTACACAAGAATGTTCACTAAGCATGTTTCCTAAATATTTGCAATCATATTATGGTATTTTTATGCTTCAGAAAAGTCAAAAACTTCCATACAGCACCTTTAAGCATCCTTAAAGGGATAGTTTACCAAAAATGAATATTTTGTAATCATATAATCACTTAACTCGTTCAAAAGCAATTAGTTTCTTTCTTCTATTAAACATAAAAGAAGATATTTTGAGAAATGCTTGTAGCGGGCATCCATTGACCTCCATAGCAATTTGCTTTCTCCTATAGAAGTTGATGGGTGCCAGCAATGAGCATTTTCTAAATATCTTGTTTTGTCTTCAACAACCAAGGTTTAAAACCACCCCTTAAATTACTATGTACTTGCTATGGGTACTATGTATCCTTATTATGTACATAAATGTTTTTACATTGTACTTCTATTTGAAAAATCATCAGCATGTAATTGCATTCGTTCTGTAATTACATGTAAATTTATGCTGTAGATATGCTGTAGTATATGGAAGTCAATGGTTACAGATTTGCAGCTTATATCTTCTTTTGTGTTCAACAGAAAAAAAGAGGGCAAGTAAATGATAAGTTCATTTTAAATCCTAAACAAGACGTTTTGTTGACGTCAAGTCAGTGTCTGCATGTCTGAATGGGGTCATCGGGGATTCAAGCTGACCTCAAAGTTCATGGAGATGGGTGGTCGAGCCCACTTCTTTTTGTCATTAGTGGGTAGCAGCTCGATCTCAGCGCTGATCTGAGACTCCTTCATACCAGCCATTCGCTTGATCCTACAAAAGAATCAGCAACAGGAATCAGCTCCACAGGACATCATTAGATCAATCCGTTCAAAATAAAATGTAAAATCTATTCTCTAAATGCATGTTCTAGATCTAATTGTAAAAAATCATCCCTGTATATGATTTATTTAATAAGGAAAACTAATAGAAACATTATAAAATGGCTTTTGCATTCTCAAAAATGTTGTGCTTCCCCAAGAATCTTTGCTTAACATTTGTGCTTAACATTGTTGTCTCTCAAATCTGTTTCTCTATCTCAAGAAACTTTGCACTCTTTAATTATCTCACAAAACAACTGCCTTACCCCAAGGAACCAATATATTCTCTCACTAAATTGTGCTCAACCACAAAATGATCGCAATGATTCGCCTTCTCAAAACTAGGGTGTTCCCTCAAGAAACGCTGCATATTTTAGCAAAGCTATTACATCCCCTGTGAAATTCTGCATTCACTTGCAAAGGCACTACGGTTCTGTTTACCCCACACTTCATATTATAAATGTTTTATGTATGAAGAAAGTTTCTCAAGACTTAATCTTTTTTCAAGGAAACACAAAAAGCATTGGAATATGTGCCTCATATGTGCCTCATTTTCAATGGTATGTCAAGTAGCAATTCTTAAATTGACAGCTTTAAGCATTTAGCTATTAAATATTTTTGTCAACAAAATCACAAAAACATCCTGACATTTGATAGACAGAAGGATGGATTATCAGGCATCATCAACATATGATACTGAACTTTGAGGGTAATGTGAAATGATCTGGTCCCCGTTTACTTGACCAAATAAGTGAGTTTGCCAGATACCGAAATAGCTATCTCACCATCTTCTCTGGGCAAAAACATCAAATGATGGTACTTAAAGTAAAAATCAAGCCTTACTTCCACACAATGGCGTTCTCGCTGGCTTTGTACTTGGCTTTCCCCTTCATACAGATGACCTGAACCCCGCTGGTGTTGAGTGGAGTAGGAATGCGCACCTGTAGATGCACACAAACACACACGATTTACACTGCACTAGTAGGCATGTCAAAATTATCAGTAATATTCAGATGAATGAATAAGGGCAGAAAAATGAATTGCTTTTGCAATATTGCAATTAGGGCTGCAACTAACGATTATTTTAATATTGATTAATCTGTTTTTTTTTTTTTGACTTATCAATAAATCGGATATTAAAATAAAAAAAAAACATTCATTTCCAACCATTTATTCAAAAAAGCTCATCCCTGAGCTGTTATAATAATTATAATATAAATAATAAAATAAAAAACAGTTTTGTCCTGTTTTCAATCCGAATATCTAAATATTTTTAAATCAAGATATTTGGTCATAATTTGGTTTTGTTTTCGGTCAGAATTAATGAAAAAAATAAGCACTTTTCTGACGGTCCCTTACGGAGAGCTCTGCTCAGACACCACGCCAAAGCTCAGTTTGTTTTCCTCAGTTGCAGCTCTAAAGTTAAAGATGCTAACGCTAAGTTGTCATGCTGTTTCAAGCTGGATAACGAGTAAAATATCAGCACCAGGGACTTTACGGTCCTCACTTCAAAACAGAACAAAAGTAGGACCCTGCTGTTGAACTCAACTTCCTCATCAGCCCTGTCTATGAGGCGCCGCACTCTGTATCAGTGCACGAGAGAGCTCCGCGCTGAACTGAAGTGTTTTTTAATAATTAAATGTCCCCGTGTCGTGGGACACAACAAATCGATTATAAAATCCATACGCTTTTAGTAATCACTTTTAATCGATTCGCTGTTGCAGCCCTACATTGCAATATTATAAAATACAATTTTTAAACCACAAAAGCTGCAATGACACTGTGGTGAAGTGACATGTAGGCTTTTCAAAAGTATTGACTTTGGCACTGAAATTATATTATTAAATATATATATATATATTTTTTTTAAACATAGTGGTTTGGTGTCTTGTCTCTCAAATCCAATGACACTGCTACGGACCATTCTGTCAGACCATTCTGTGATCAGTAGTGTGTACAGTATACGTCACATTATCCCACGGACAAACAAAAAAACCAGTCAGTGGCTACAAGGACATTGTTGGGATGCCTTGTGTATATAATGTAGTAATATTGTGTAATGCCATAATTCATGCATTAAGGAGCTTAAGTAAATATGCAGGGTACTGAAGTGCCTTCAAAAACACATTCATTTTGCACCTTTACATTCGATTTGAATAACGGGAATGGCGGCTAAGACGTGATGCCATTTGTCATATTTAAAATCAGTTCTATTTTAACATCAGCATAAGAAATCAAACTTTGCACAAACTGTGAAGCTGTTTGATGAATTATTTAGGTGACTAATTGGGTACATTTTTTTTCACAAATACTAAAGCAGAGTAATTAAGAGAAGATCTTTTTATTTAGAGTGTGCAAGTTAAATTACACCACACACTATTATTGTGTCTATCATTCTATATATTGATTCATTGCATGTCTTAAATAATTAAATAATATAGAGGATGAAAAGCATTGCAATAACTGCATTTTAAAACCACAATCACAATATTGGTCAACTTTCATGATTAGATTGATTTGTTTTAATCGTTCAGGCCTACAATGAATGACATTTCTGTCGTCAGCCTCACCTCTATCTTCTGTGCTAACAGGGAGGGTTTGAAGTTGGATTTGATCACCACCTTGACCTCCAGCTTGGTGCGGCCCACTTCACGGACCAGTGGGATGACGCGGAATGGAAGGATGATGTCTTTAGTTGTGCGGTACCTGAGACAAGAACAGTGTTTATTTGTTTAGGTTTTAATGCCATATCAGCAGCAATGGCTATATTCATGGCAACATTGGTAAAGAATTATTCAATTCATAAGTTTCTTCATAAACATTAAACAAAAAAATACATGACAGCAATATTAATAAAAGGTCATGTGAGGTATTTCAATTCCATAAGTGATAAATATTCAAAGATTCTTCCGGAGGCACTTTAAAAAAAAAACATTTTTCTTTACATTTTTTCAGATAAAAAATGTTATTTAATATTGTTTATAAAATATATGTTCTATCAAAATGTTTTATAGTCAAAACATTCTTGCAAAACTTTCTATAAGTGAAATATTTAGTAACAGAACTGATATTTATTTTAGATAAAGGTTTTTAATTTAGTAGCTTGTAGTCACTGTGATTATTTTAGTCAAAGCATGAAAATTCAATTTAAAAGGTAAAATTAAAAATAATATAAAATAATAAGTCAATAAAAAATACTGATGTCGACGAATTATTATCATCGACTTAATTATACAGATGAACCTCAGCAGTAGTAATACTTTGAGTAAAAACATTCGCTAATATTTTTTAAAAAATCTTATAAATTGTTTTATAGTCAAAACATTCTTGCACAAGTCACAAATATGTTACTCTTCCCTTAATAATTAATACGGGTAAAGTAATTCTTAAGCGATAATAAAAATTTGTCGTCAAGCAATGCCGTTATCGTTTAGTTGGGTTTGATTAGTTCACGTGACTGAGGAGAGCGGAGATAAATTTTAAAAAAATTAATAGATTTTTGTCAGCATGTTTATGTCATAATTTTTTAAATAATGTGAACATAACAGGAGTACAACACTTGTTTTGCTTTTTGTTCATTTATATTTGGAATATTTAGAAAAGTTTTACTGTTTAAAAACAAACTTTTTATTTAAAGTTTAAAATGTAAAGAAATTATTTTTTAAAAAATCATTAAACTTGATATGTGGCTTTCGCATTATTTAACCTATACATTTATTCATAAATAATACCCTGATTTACAGCTTTATATATTGTTATAATAAGCAAAATGTCAAATGAGTTTGATTGAGAGAGAGAGAGAGAGAGAGAGAGAGAGAGAGAGAGAGAGAGAGAGAGAGAGAGAGAGAGAGAGAGAGAGAGAGAGAGAGAGAGAGAGAGAGAGAGAGAGAGAGAGAGAGAGAGAGAGAGAGAGACAATGAGACAACAATGATAAACTGCCCATCCTACTGGGGAAGTGTGTGTGCTGCTGTGTGTTAGCAGCTCAGTTTGTGCACTCCCGCCACCGTCTGAGGAACCCACAATGATCCACTTCACTGTCTCCAACACACAACTGGAACTCTTTACTTGTTGACTTACTGTTATATTATTGTCACCACTTTTATCCTGTTTCACAAATTACCATTAATCTATTTTTATTTTTATTAATATTTTTAGTTTTACTGATATATTGTTATTTTTATTAATCTTTTTATTTTTTTTACATTTCTTTTCTTTATTTCTATATTATATTTTATGCTCATATTTGTTTGCACTACTGCCCTTTTTGCACTGTCTTGTCTGTACGCAGCGACGCTGCACTGCTTTGGCAATACGAATGTACAGTTATTTGTCATGCCAATAAAGCACCTAAAATGTGAAAATGTGAGAGAGAGAGAGATGAGACACACTTCCTTCTGTTTTGCCCCAAATACAGCACGACTAGAGAAATATTTTTCCCCCAATTTGAAACATTGATCAATTCATTTTTTAATTTAAATGACTCAGAAAAACTTTACCATATACTCGGAGAGGACGAATTGACATTTAGACTAGCTGCAAAATATGTATATACCCTACACACCATAAGAAATGGTTAATGTAAACTCATGTATCTTATTTAAATAACTTAAACTTTTTACTATCATTATTATTATATTTATCAAATGTATTGTATTTTTTTTTTGTGTGTGTCATTATATCTTATCTGTATTACTATTAATTATTATTTTCAATGGTTTTAATATGTTTCATATTTGAAATGCTTTGGCAATACTGTATTTAATGTCATGCCAATAAAGCAACTTGAACTGAACTGAACTGAGAGAGAGAGAGAGAGAGAGAGAGAGAGAGAAAACGCCCGACTAATTGATTATAAAAATAACTGTTAGTTTCAGCACAACTGGAACGTACAACAGATTAAGGTCTTCTTTAAAATGGTAGTTATTTATTTTCTGTATTAATGGATTGACTTCATATAACCTGTTGTTTGTTGTTCAGTGAAGCATGTTTTCACAAAAGAGTATAAATCAATGTAAAATCAAGGTAAAACCATGTAGTTGCAGTGAATTTTTCTCTTACATTTGCTTTTGAAAACATTCCTTTTTGGGCTTTGGGAAAGGTTCTGTACATGAAGGTTGTGTATTTAAAGCATAAAACAAAATGTACCTCGAGTAAAACATTTCAGATTTAAAAAATGAAGACAGCACCCTCTAGTGGATTTGTCATCTGAAACGTGCAAGGAAACGAAGGGTAACAAATTGTATGTTTTGTTTGCTGTGTAATACATTTTCAGTGAGCCTACACTGAAATATCATAACAGTCTTGAGTAAAACTGGAGTTTATAGAAAAAACATTATTTACATTTGCATATTATTGTAGAGATTAAAAAACAGGTTTGAAATCAGACACAGGAATTTGATCTGACAAGGGCACTGCCATTGTTGTGCTGCAAGACACACACATGCTCTTGACTGACCTCATGAGCTCATACTCTCCGTCAGGGGGAATAAAGCTAATACTCCGCTCCGAGTCAAACTTGCTGAGACGGACACACTGGTGGAACGTGCAGTCATCGATCGCAATGGACTGTTTCCCACTGCAGCAGGACACACAGAGGAGAAAAAAGAATGATGAAGCACGAGCAGAGACTGCAGAAAGACCACACACACACACACACACACACATACTCAAGGGGTGGGCGGCATGACGGTATATACTGTGTGACGGCAGAGAAGTGTCAACCGGTAGAGATTTTTTTAAATTAGTGTTTTTATGGTTATTGGTGGGAAGAACAGCTCTATGCATTTACATGTGTGAGTGATGAAGAAATATGGATTAATGCAGAAATACAAAGCAGAATGTGTACTTAAGGAAAAATGTGGAAAAACAACGAGCCAAAAACATGTCAGGCAATCTAATAACAACCTAGCATATCATGTTTAATTTAAAGTGATGCGTCCAGCAAAATAGTTTAACACACAATGCTCAAACAATCAGAATTGATATTGAATTATTGAAATAATATTGATATAATTATAAGTACTACATACAGCTTTATTACGGATTTTATAATGTCATTTTATAACGTCAGTAAAATGTTTTGCAGGAGGCGTCTTATGCACACCAAGGGTGAATTTATTTGATGTTTAAGCAGAATTTTTGCCATTATTACAGCAATCTTCAGTCACGTGATCCTATAAATCATTTGAAGATGCTTTTTGGATTTATCATTAACAATTTAATAAAAAATGGTTGTGGTGTCATTTTCTGCAAACTATAATGCTTATTTTTGTAATCACTGATAAAAGAAAACTGCATTTATTTGAATTATTGTATTTTGAACATTGTAAATGTGTCACTTCTGATCAATTTGATGCATCCTTGATTAGTAAACAAAAAATATTTCCTATTGCAAACTACTGAACAGCCGTGTAGTATAATGAAAGTTGTTATTATATGATCACTCCTTTTTTGAAAATGGCCCATTTTACAAGTGTCCAAGAGTTAAACACTTGACTTGAACCATTTTTAAATCCATTCAGCTAATTTTTTTTTTTTTATCTTGCCGGCAGCTAGCTCTCTGCAACTCTCACATGGTCGCCCACTGAAGCCAAGCAGGGCTGTGCCCAGTCAGTAACTGGATGGGGGACCACATGGGAACACTAGGTTGCTGCCGGAAGTGGTGTTAGTGAGGCCTGCAGGGGGTGCTCAACCTGTGGTCTGTGTGGATCCTAATGCCCCAGTATACTGATAGGGACTCTATACTGCTCAGTGAGCAGCGTCTTTCCTATGAGACGTTCTGTGGTCGTTCAAAGTCCCAAGATGTCCTTTGAAAAAAGTAGGGATTTCACCCTGGCATCCTGGTCAAAATTACCCACTGGCCTCTGTCCATCATGGCCTCCTAACCCTCCCCACATGATAACAGAGTATATGCAGAAGGACATTTAATTGGTCAGTAACCTGGGTTGAGCGCTTCTGGTGAACGTTTGCCATTACAAAATTGGTGCGTTTAAGGTCTGTTTTCTTTTAAAATCAGCGACTGGCTGAGTGATATATAAAATTAAATCTATTCAATAAAGCTTCTGCGCTAGCCTGCTAATACTGACAGGCGCGTGTGAGTAAACGGCTTTTTATTTCATTTTACGCTTGAGCAACTAAATGATTGTCAATGTCTATTTAACTGATTTTATTTTAATTACATTACAACATCCATGCTGTACAAGAAACCCTATAACATAGAAAAAAAGTCACATTAACCGTTCACTGGAAGTTTATCATTATGGGAAGAAACACTAGCTGTGCATATACCCTATTGGCTTCATTACTCTGTCTCTTCTCCACCAATCAGCTGGTGTGTGGTCTGGCGCAACATGGCTGTCGTAGCGTCATCTAGGTGGATGCTACCCCCAAAATGTGTAAAGCTTTTAGTGTCCAGAAAAGAGCTTTATAAAAATGTAAGGAATTATTATTACTCTGGTGGGGTCATATTTGGCTTGGCTTAGCTTAGCATGATGAATTAAATCGAATTCGGAGCATTTGAAACCATAGTTTCAAGGCGTGCTCTGAAAACAGCCGATTGTCACATACTGTGTAATAACACTCCGCCTGGTAAAGCCATGATACAACAGCAGAGTAATTGACTAATACGCCAAAATGAGAGTATAGTTCCAAGTAATATCGGCCTAGAAAATAGTAATTTTTCATTTTCATTGTCTTATTACGCAATGTAACGACAAAAGAGAAAATTAGAATAGAAAAATTGTCTCAACTTTTAAAAAAGATTTAAACAAAATGCTAATGGTCTAATCCGAATCAATTCATTATGCTAAGCTAAAACTGACCCCGCCTGAACAAGAAATTGGCTGAAAGGATTAAAAAATGGTTCAAGTCAACTGATTAACTCTGGGTGACCAAAAAAGTTATCCTTTTTTCAAATACGGTGGAGTTTTCCTTCAAACAATAAACAAATGAAGAGCCAGTATGCTTAAAACATCACATGCTATGTAATGGCAGACATAATCTGCAGACATTTTTTTGCCATTTCAACACAGAATTTTATTAAAAATAAATAAATAAATAAAAATAAATAAATAAAAAAACCTGCAGATTTCTGCGGAAAGATTTTCTGAGTATCATAACAGAAAAACCTAGTTTATTAAATTAATAATAATACTTTGATGTTTACAATGCAAATCCAATTAGATCCACTTATTTGAAACAAAGCAAGTCTGTCGTATTATATATATCTACTAAAATATTACTTTACAAACTGTATTGTAAATAAATGATGAACATTTTAATATTAGTCAATCATTTTACTGAAATAACTATAAAAACTGAAAAAATATAAATTTACACACATTTACACAAGTAAATAAACAGACTCAACGATGAGCTGAAATCTGCAGATTTCTGAGCATGTAGATTCTGAGTGGGCCTTGTGATAGCCTTTTAATAAAGTGATATCTTTGGAGCTTTGGTTTTTGATATGATTTCCTTGTCATACCGCCTACCTCACACAATGCACAGCACCATTGTCTGCTATACTGCCCTTAAGTTGGGGAAGTATGACTGCTTTTAAACCTGTGACCACAACAAAACAGCAACTGTAATTTGACCAGATTGCCATTAATGTTATGTTGTGGTCAGAGTCAAGGAGAATAGATATCTGAGGGGGGTAGTCACATGACTAAATATCAACTTGAACACAGATTCTAATGAGAATGGCTATTGGTTCATTCAGGTGTGAGCTTCTACAATAAAACAAGACAGGGGTAAGACGAGACAAATGAACTGAAGAAATCTACGCTCTCCTCCACTGAGAGCTTCACACACTTCCTCACATATCAGGAGACAATGGCAGTGTCATCCCATGCAAAAAGATCATCTTTGTCGAGACGTTTGATGGCATGACACAAAGACAAACGGCTGAGACAGGACAGAGTGAGGGTGACAGATTATGTGACGTCAGGAGTGAGAGTTACGCTACCTGCCTCCCAACTCACTGAAGTCCAGCGGGAGAGAGGAGAGAGGCACACAAATCAACGGAACAAAAATGGAAAACTAAAAGAAAATAAAGGGCTGAAGCATCGGCCCCTCAGAATAAAACATTCCTCTGTAAAGATACAAATACCTACCAGCACAGAAGGCAACAGAGGAAGAGCAAGAGTGCAAGACACAAAACACAAAAGAGCCAGGAAGAATGAATTCACTTGATGTGGGATTCATTTCCTGTAAACATGGTATCCAAATGTTCTGCGCTTCGTGGCACTTCTTCCCTTTCTGGATTTTATTACTCGTAAGTGCTAATAAAGCCTTAAAAATCCACGTTAAGAGGGACATCTTAAACCAAAACTACTTAAACTCAATAAGAAACTATATTCACAAACCAGTTTACTTCAGCAATTATAACTCATTTCCAACTCAAAAATTATTGTATTTTATAGTAAATGACTGGAGTGAGAAATGTTTCTACAGGATATGTAGCTGAAAGAGAAGAACTGAAAAATATCACATTTGCAGTATTATTAAAAGGAATAGTCACACAAATAATAAAATTCAGTCATCATTTACTCATCCTCAAAACCTGTTTGGCTTTCTTCTGTTGAACACAAAAGATATTTTGAAGAAACCTGGAACCGTGTAACTACTGACCTCCACAGTATTTGTTTTTCCTACTATGACAGTAATAGTTAAGAGATTAAGAGAGTAAATAAACAAATATGAATTTGGAACTGACTGAGCACAAGTAAATATTGAATAAACCACATTTTTGGGGGAGCTATCCCTCTAAGATGAGCTATCTCCTCAACTCCTGTTTTTCAAAATTCAGGTTCTCAAAAAGGGTTTGGGAACCTCTAGTGGTGTGTGATGGAACTGCTGTAGATTTGGATGATAGTGACAGAAATGACCATTCTAAATGACATTTAAAAAAAGTCATGAAATGCTTTTGAAATATATAGGAAAAAAATATATAGCTTAAAGGGGCTTGACCTTAAAATGATTTTTAAAAAAATTAAAAACTGCTCTTATTGTAGCTGAAATAAAACACTTTCACAAGACTTTCTCCAGAAGAAAAAAATATTATCAGACATACTGTTAAAATTTCCTTGCTCTGTTAAACATCATTTGCGAAATATTTAAAAAAAGAAAAAAAATAAAGGGGGGGGGGGGGGGGGTGGGGTGGGCGGCGAATAATTCTGACTTAAACTGTAAACACACACACACACACACACACACACACACACACATATATACATATATATATATATATATATATATATATATATATATATATATACATACATACATACATACATACATACATACATACATACATACATACATACATACATACATACATACATACATACATACATATATATATATATATATATATATACATACATATATATATATATATATATAAAAAATGATAAATTAAGAGGACAGTTCAACCCAAAAAATTTAGTTAATTCATCATTTACTAGCATTTTGTGGTTTTAAAACCTGGGAGTTCCTTTTTTTCTGCTGAACCTAAAAGATAAAAAGGTAGCTGGTATCCATTGACTTCCATTGTAGAAAATACTACTATGAAATTCAATGGCAATCAGCTTCCAAAAATCTTTTTGTTTAACAGAAGAAACTCAAATAGGTTTTAAAGAGAAGAGTGAGTAAATCACTGAATTTTCAATACTGGGTGAATTATCCCCCCCCCCCAAAAAAATAATAATAAATAAATAAATAAATAAATAAATAAATATCAGACATATTGTGAAAACTTCCTTGCTGTGAAACATCATTTGGGAAATATTTAAAACAGAAAAGAAAAATTCAAAGGGAGGCTAATAATTCTGACTTCAACTGTATGTGCTGTATTGCAGTACTGTTCAATACATTAATAAAGCACTGCAGCCACATTAATAATCAGACTAAATACTACTATAGCTTAAATATAAATATTCTGTTATTCTGTATAATGATATACTTCATCCACACAATATAAATAATTTATCATAAAATAGAAGGAAAAAATAGTCTGGATATTAGAAAAGAATACGCACAGACAGGAGGTCTACATCAAGAGACTGCCACAAGACACCATAACTCTTACTATAATCAGTATTGTAGTTAAAAATTAGGAATGCACCTCTGTGAAATTACACACACATTAAGTGGAATATAGAGAAATATGAAAAACTATAGTGAGGTATAAAAACATCCGTATGGTTTTACTGTCATCTTAATTCCATGACCACTTTTACATTAAAATAAACTAACATGTACACATAAAAAGGACAGTTTAAGTAAAATTAACTGGAATGATAACTACTAACAACAAAATATACATCATTTAAATTAAAAATCACAATGACAGCGATATTGACAGAAGAATACAACCTATTTTTTCAGCTGATAAAAGAGAAAAAAAAAACACTAACAGCCATTTAGAACGTGCACATGCTTACTGTAGACAGACAAGCAAATATAGTGATCCTTCTTAATGTGGAGGGAGCGTTTATTCTGATCATCAGAAGGCATTAACATCTCCATGAGTGTCATTGGACTCACCTCTTGCCAGTGTCATCAGTAGTGCCACCTTTGCCCTGCTTGTCGATGACAATCTTGTCGTTCATGCCAAACTTGCACTCTGGCATCCCGCTCAGGTAACTCTTCATGACCACACGGCCCGACACGTGTGCACTCAACACCTGACCTGCACACACAACTCACCATTCAGTATTGCAATTCTCAGCCACAAATCTACTGTAAGGGCGTACAATCTATCATATATCTGTATTGCAACCTTAGAGCACAAAACCAGGAAAAAAAGGGGCATTTTATTTCAATGCTTTATTATCTTTCCTTTGATCGATGGTTTGTTAGGACATTATTTGGTGGGATGGAATTATTTGTAAATCTGGAATATGAGGGTGCCACAAAAAATCTACATACTGGAAAAAAAGGCTCTTAAGTTTGTCCAAATTAAGTTACTTATAATCAAATTTTTATACATTTACAGTAGGAAATTAAAAAAAAATGACTTGATGGAAAATGATCTTTACAAAATGATAGAAAAAATATCATTTTAACCCATACAATAAGTTTAGGCAATTGCCAAAGATATACCCATGCAACATAAGACTGGTTTAGTGGTCTAGAGTCACAATTGTCACATCAATAACATGCAAGAACGTCCAAAAGCATTGAGTTTTGATGAAGCTCGTTGGAATGCAGTTAGCCATTTTTTTTATTTAAAAGGACAGTAGTAAAATAATAATGCAATAAGCCAAAATCAAAAGAGTGATTTCCCCGAACATCAGCACAAGAGCATGACTGCACGTGACATCGATTTATAAACAAATGCTTAAAAACAATACATTAACAATGACAAAGCTACATATCAGACACCATATTATCTGTTTTTCTGTTTGGCAAACCAATATAAAATCCAAACAATAGAACTTTTCAGATCAACAAAGTGTTCCTACAACATAATTGTGTGAGACTGGTGTAAATGCTGTATGTGACGTCTCTGGTGACCTTCTTGTTCTGTTCTGTATGTTAAAATAGTAAAAATAATAATAATAATAATGAACAAATAAATAATAAATACATATAATATAATATATTAACATAATATAACATAACATATTATAATATAACATAATATATTATAATATAATATAATATAATATAATATAATATAATATATAATATAATATAACATAACATAATATAATATAAGATAACATATTATAATATAATATAATATAACATAACATTATAATATAATATAATATAATATAATATAATATAATATAATATAATATAATATAATACAGGGTTCATACACATTTTTACTACTAAAACTCCATGACTTTTCCAGGATTTCCAAGTATATTTTCATGACCTAATGTTTCATGTAAAGTATATGTAAACTTGGTAAATAATAAGAAAAACAATGAGTTTAAATACATTTTCAGATCTATGTAAAATTGATTTAGATAATGCTTACACAGCACTAATAATGTTAGAGCATGTTTTGGCCAAAGACAACTAACCTACATTCAAGTATAGAGATATTTGTTCAACTAATTTCCAGAAATTTTACAAAACTTTGTGGGTTTTTCTGTTTTTCCAAACTTTTTCGTAGCATTGTCAAGTTTTCATGACTTTTCCAGGTTTTCCATGACTGTATGAACTCTGTATTTATATATTAACTCCTGACTTAGTCTGTTTGTGTGAATATTAATCCATAAATATATGGCCCTAAAACACTGTCATTTTCCTTGCATCTAAATAAATATACACTTTTGAACAAATTATTTTAATCAATGATTTAATGAATCATTTTATTAATTAATAAAAAATAGGGCCATATCAATAGACAAAAAACATGGTAAACAATGCAATTAAAAAAAAACAGTAGAGACATTTTTAATTTATATATAAATCTATAAATTTATAATTTAAAATTTTTAGAATTTGATAAAAATCATGATTCCATTACTTGGGACCAAAAAAAAAGAAGTTTAATGTTTGGAATAGACCTTTTTAACAGACCCAGAAAAACATTATATAACTATCATAATCAATTAACCTCCAGAAAAAAATGGGAGGTATCATTTTGTCAGTATGGCCTGCCCAGAGTTGTAACACTTACCCTGCGGTGACATTAGCAAGTTCACACTTTCCAGTACATCCAGGAAGAGCTCGTTGCGGCGATATTTGATGCCCTCGCGTCTCCAGCCGATCTGCCCTGTGACCTGACTGGTAATCTGAGACTGCTCCTCTTTTGTCTGAGAAAAACATAAGAGTGCAGCGTGAGGAAAAAACAGAGCAGCCAAAAATGGAGAACTATACATGTTGTCATGTAAAGTTAAAGAAACGTTCACCCAATAAAACAATTCTGCCATCATTAAATCATCTTTAACTTGTTCCGAACCAGTCCGAGTTAATGTTTACTCTATAACCATTGATTTCTACAGTATTTGTTTTACTATTATGGATGTTAATGGTTACAGGTTTCCAATATTCTTCAGAATATCTTTGTGTTCAACAAACCAAAAAAACTCAAATCGACTCTACAAGTCAAGGGTAAGTAAATGACCACAGAACTTTTTGTGGGTGAACTAAATCTTTAATATAAAAGGGAACATATTTTTTAGGGAAATATGTTTAAGATTTATTTGCCTTTTGCAGTTGTTGCTACTAAAAGGGGGCACAGAAGCAGGTCAGGGACATTAGACATCATAAAACCTCATTAAAGTTAAATAGTGGTGATGTTTGGGTTAAAATACTGATTATTACAAGTCAAATCATTGATAAAGTAATTCTGATCCCAGTCCAGGGAACGGATCTTTTGTACTTTAAATTGACAAAGCATGAAAGATGTTTGTTAACTCTATGTTTGCTGGAATTGATTGACATTGAAAGTATAGACAAGCATGTTATTGCTGTAGTATTATTTATTTAGATTTTTTTATTTCCTTGTTTTTTATTTGACATATTTGTGAGTTCATTTATGTAATATTGTATTTTCTGAACTTAAGTTTTAATATTTAACATTTGAAAATAAAAAGTAATAAAGAAGTAATGTGACTGGTGTAGCTGATATATAGCCTATACTTTGTTCTTTACTACCACTTTGGCATTTAAGCTTCAAAAATCACAGTGTTCATTTGTGATGGTCATTTCACATGATGCACAAAATGTTGAAGAATCAAACTTTTGCTGGTCACAAAGTCTTTCCTGCATGAATATAAAGCCAATGAGAACATCATAAAAGGGATTTTTTAATCTTTTACAAGATCTTTTATTTTAATAATAATAATAATATGAATAAATCCCTAAAGCAATGCTCTATAACTGTGTAAGTAAAACTGTGCTTACATGATGCTGGGCGCAGAGAGTTACAGGTCATCAGGCATGTGGCGAGCAGTGGTGTGAAGACAAAAGAGTGACAAACATTAACAAACAGTTCAGTTTATACATGCGTCAACAAATGCTATGCTCCAGAAACTCAGACTTCAACACTTCTGTCTGTTACAGGCAGATTAACAATGCATTTTCATAAACACTTAAACATTAAGAAAAATAAACCATATTTTAGTGTGTAAAGCAGAACAAACCTGGCTCTTAATACCCTGTTGAGTAATGAAGGTCTTCAAGGCTCCAGTCTCAGAGTTTTGTGGGTAGCCAAAATCCAGGATCTCTATAATGAGAAAATAAATTGAATGTAATGCTAATACAGCTGTACGTGAAGGGAAAATCAAGTCTGTTAGATTTAAGATGCAATATGCTAATGAAATCCTAAAACTGTCAACCTTTTAGACTGATGTAAAATGACAAGCCCCTTAAAAAAATCATTTTAAGTTTATTTTTATGATTTACATGGATTGATATTTTGTGTAATAAAGATTTTATATTTTCATAAAAACATAAATCAAATGTATGTTAACTGAATATTAAACATAACAATTGACTAAATATTTTTTAGATTTAAACACTTTTGGTGTTAAATAAATTTGACTAATCAGGGCTCAACAATAAGGACTACCCGGTGGCCCGGGGCCAGCGTGAAAGACACTCGGGACAGTAGACAGGATTGTTACTGGCCCCTATCGGCCAGTAACGATGAGCATGTTTTTTTTGTAACCTGGTATCAACCAGTACAGCGAAAAGATGGCAACATGGTGGCAAAATTAAACAATGAGGCTAAAATAAAACATCTGTTTCTAAAGTCTTAGAAGCAGACAATTACATGGGTACAAAATTAAGAAACTAAAAAAAAAAAATAAAAAAAAAATAAAAAAAGAAGTTGTCAGTTTGGCAAGCCATTTTTATGAAAAATGATTTAGAATTGCATTAAAATATAAAATACCAGCACATTTTTCATTCTGCTCTTTCATTTGCATAAAATCTAGAATTTTGCTCATTATACATTTATTAACATATTTAAAATGTTTAAATTCTTGATTCACAGGCATAATTTTGCCACTATTTAAAATATGTGGCTAAGAAATAGCTAATAACTTTTTAGTTTTATTTTGGTGGGGCCGGTGAAAATTTTGGCAGGGCAAGTAAAAATCTCAACCATATATATATATATATATATATAAATATATATATATATATATATATATAAATATATATATATATTAATATATATATATATATAAATAAATAAATAAATAAATAATATATATATATATATATATATATATATATATATATGTAATTAAATGATGTTGCAAAATGTTCATGTTCTGAATTCATGGTAAAAACAATAAATTCTTAAAATAGTATTGCACCATTTTAAATACTATAAAATCATCATTTAGCTGAAATTCATATAGAGGGCCCTATTATACAGCTGGCGCAATACGTGTATGGCACGATTTGTTGCTATTTTCAGACCAGAGCAACAGTAATTTTCACATTTTGCAGCACGTTGTTTAAATTGCAAATCCATCTGCTCCACTTTGTGGAGTAATGGGTGTGCTGGTCTAAAAAAAGAGGTGTGTTAAGGCGCATTGTTGGCGCTTTGCTATTTTGAGAAACTGAAATAGGCCGTGCCATTGACCAACTAAAAACTGGTCTAAAGTCCAGCGCAGATCGTGTTAGTTATGGGCCTATGCAGGTACAAGCGCTTAATACACACAGGATGTACAGCAATACACAAATATCTTTACATCTAAAAAAGAATTTAAGTATTAAAATGTTACAAATATTACTTTCTACATAAATATAAAAAACACTGCCTCCATGCCTTTGGTGCATTTGTAAAATTCTATTATTAGTAGTAGCATTATTTATTATATGCATATTTATATATGTTTTAATAAAAAATAGTTTAGATTTGTCCACTTGTGGGGTTTTGGAGACGTCTGCGTCACCATATGGGGCACAAGCACAGAACGTGTGTTTGGATATAACTTAGTTTTTTTGACCACACTGCACTATTATTGTTGTTCATTTATTCCTTTGCTGGAAATTAAAACTGATCTTAGAAATGGTTTTAAAACAAATCTTTGCGCTTAAACTAAATTAAATATGTAGGCCAATGGATGTCTTTAGTGGAGTGAGTTTTCACCGTTTCCTTATCAACGAAAGTAAAGAAGTAAAGTAAAGAGTAAAAATTAAGAGGTCGAATGGAGGAGGCTCATTCTTTATCATCGGGCTGCAGATGGTCTGTTTAATTCTTTTTTGGATAGTGAAGCGTTCAGTTTTTCAACTTACAGAGTCCGCCATGTAAATAGCAAATGTGTCATGGTGCAACGCAACTGACTCTTAAAGAGAATTTGAGATGCGACTCTGATTAATTTAATGCATGTTATGCTCAAAACACACCCATAAAACCGTATTTTTCAGTCCATAAAATAGCAAACGTGGATTTGGACTTGCCTCTAATGCTTTTGCGCCTGCGCTTTAGACTTTGCGCCTAGATAGTTAAAATAGAGCCCAGAAAATATGTTATAATTATTACTTACTGTACAGTCCGTTAAAAAGTGTAAGTAAATCAAAACTTGTCATGTAAAAAAAAGATCATCAGTCCATGTAATTAAACATCACAAGTATCACAAGAGATTTTCGGTTTAAAACAGTGCTGTATATTTTTTTCATAGCTTACGTTGTAGTGTCAAAACAGTGTATTAATATTCCACTAAGTGAGTTTTGCCAAGCAATGTTGAAAGCAACACAATAAACACGCCCCTTTTAGTCATCTAGTCTCATGACACGCCCCTTACTGATAATTTGTGGCAAGTGTGTGTTTTGGGACTCCAACACTGTAGTAAAAAGCTTCTTCTATCTCAGAAGGCAGAGGTGATGTCCATCTATCTGCGCAGTATTTTCTTTAGGTTTTGATTTTCTCATCGACATTTCACAAAAATCAAAACCTAAAAAAACAACAGCACAGCAGCTGTGGGAGAGCTTAAGGCTGGAACTGCCACATGAGCGAAGAGAAAATTCAACTGTGAAATATTCTGGTTATGCAACTTATTTCTTTAACAAATATCTCTTTGCTGTGGGAATGATGAAGCAATGATAATTGTTTTTATTTTAAGGAAAAGAGAGTCATCCTACCATCTAGGAGCTCGTAGATCAATACAAAGTTGTTCTTGATGTTCTCCTCGCTGATCTTGCCGAAATACGCGGTCATGACATCACACATCTTGTAGAGGAACTCGAAGACCATGGCAGCATTGACATTCTGCTTGGTGACGGCAGCCAGCCAGATGTTAGAGCGCTTGACATGGAAGAAGCTGGTGCGGGCGATGTTGGTGACAGGTGAGCGAACCTGCTGCCGCGCGTGGATCACGTTTACGCGAAACGCGTCCACTGCATTCCTCCTGCAGAAAGGATGTTGTAAAGGTTGATTCATATGGAAAAGTCTAAAAAAAAAAACTATATTTAAAGTTACTTTGAAATGAGTGTTAGTTACATGTTAGAATCAGTATTATTAGTTTTTAAGATATCTATAAGCTAGTGCGCACCAAAACAGTGACAAAATATACGTTTAGAAGATTTTAAAAAATGATAGTTTGTCTCTTCCATCTAAATGGATCAACGATTTTATTCAAGTCCCCTCATACTTCAGTTTATCACCAAATCTTAACCAATCAAATGCTCTCTAGCAACTGACATGGTCAGCCCCCTTCAAGATGCTTCACATTTGCATACATTTGTTCTCAACCACTCTAACTGGCAGGGTGGTGATAAAGCAAAACACTATTGGCGTTTTTTTTTTTTTTTTTAAAGAGGAGCTGCTACACTATGTCCCACCCCCTCTTCATGTTTCGGTAGAGATAATAGCCCCTTTCACACATACAGACCTTTCCGGAAAATTGCCGGCAATTTTCCGGAAAGGTTGTATGTGTGAACAGGTCCTTTTTGAAAATACCGGTAAATTCGTTCTGGCTATTTTCCGGAAAGAGAAGTTGTAACATTACCGGCAATTTGCCGGAATGCTGCGCTGTGTGAACGCAGAAGGAAGATTTCCGGAATAAGCGTGTGCACGTCTAGAACGTGCTGACGTAAGACGTCTGCTTTAGCCAATCAGAACAGTCAGACGCATTTACGTCCGCGCGGTTTATGAGAATAAAAGCCTTTGAATATTTTCCCAGACACATTTAGCTGCTAGAAGTTAGTCAGATCACGTTTATATGTTCTTCTTAATGCCAACTGTATAAATGATCATCGATGAGATGCTTATGATAAGCCGTTGTTTGTTTACTTTCAAGCTTTGCGTGTGCCCATGAAACAGCCTGTGAGCGCCTGCACACGCACATATTATGAACATCTCGAAATGCGAAAGTGATCCTGCGAAAGCTGTTCACAATATTGATCATCCACAGAGTTTGTAATTTAGTCAAATGTTTACAAATACATGCGCAGCCGTTTAAAGCTCATTTGTGGTGAATGATGTCAGAATTTACCGGTATTTTGGAATGGATGTGTGAATGCTCTTTTCCGGAAAAAATCCGTAACGTCCTCGCCTGTGTGAACAGCGCTTTTTTGAATATACCGGTAAAGTCGTTCCGTAAATTTTCCGGATATTTACCGGTATCACTGTGTGAAAGGGGCTTATGTCAAGTTTCGAAATAAAAACGCACAATTCAAAGTACTTCATCAGAACTTTAAAGGAACACGCCTCTTTTTTTTTGTTTTTTTTTTGGAAATTCCGCTGGAGTTAAACAGCTTAATCCATTTAGACGAAATCAGGTTTTAGCGGGAGCAATTTTAGGCTAGAATAAATCATTGAATTGGATTAAACCATTAGCATTTCACTCAAATTTTAAACAATACAGATAACAATACAGTTTCAGTTAGTTCTAGTTTAAGAAAAAACAACAACTCGTTTTTATTTTTATTTCAGTTAACGACAATTATTATTATAGTTAACGAAAACTAAAATGTATAACCTTGGGCTGCAGCAGGCTTAATTTAGTAACTCTTTAGGTGAAAAATTAATCCGGTATATTGATCTACTGAAAAAGAAAAAAAAAAAGGTTGTTTTGGTAATTTTCAATCATTTGCTTTTGAGTTTAGAGTGGCAAACTCTGCTTTCTCAGTTGATGTCAGTTTGAAGCTTCATCCACAATATTCTAAACCACACGCCTCTTACCATTAGTTTGCTATGAGGGAATGATGCGCAAAAAGAAAGCCCTGTCCTCTACTCAATAATCCATTTTAGCTGGAACTTACGTGAGCAAGTCTCAGCAACGTCCCATTCAAGCAGATTTCAAGTAGACAAAATAATTGTACATGTCCAGCATTTTAAGTCTTTGTAATTATTCACTTAACATTTTAAGGTCCAAATAGTGAACTGTTCACAATAAGATTGTACATTTTTATTTTAAATTGACATTAAATGCTCACTGGTCTCGAATTTACCTAAAATATGCATCATCACTTCATTTTAGCTGCCTGTTTTTACAGCACATACACTGTTTCCTCCGCTTTCTGCCTCTTCCCAGAGCTCTCTTTCCTCCGGGCACACACGACATGCACACACACACAGTGACTTCATCTAATGATCTCTTTCTCACACAGTTTCTGCATGTGTGCCTGAACACACACTGCGACAGCATGAGTTGGCAGCAATGTACAGACCCACCGTATCCATAGCAACCCTTCTCTGAAAAGACCATCTCTGTGGTAATAGATGCCAGGATATTCTGGATATTCCAGAACTTTCACATAATCTAGACTATAATAATATTCATCTTCACTTGATCACGCTCTCCCACTGTCTTTAAAGTGTAGGTGTAACTGGCCCATCCGTAAAAAAAGAAGAAGAATTTAACCAATTGATAAGCATTATTCAAGCAGAAAGCAGACAAACAGATCTGCCATCAGACAGGACGAGTAAGAAAAGCAAAGTAATATGAAAAAGCTGATGCATCATGAGAATATTCTGAACATGCTCAAATTAACATAGGCACTCGATATGCCAATGATTAATCTACCATTGATGCACTTTATTGATGGCCGATTATGCTTGAATGTCTTTACACATGTAGTTTTGAGATCTAGATGGCTTAAGTGCATAATATCTAGAGCTGGTACATGAAAATAAATGAATCAATCACAGAGAATTATATTAAAAGCTATCGAAAACTAAACTGAGCATCAGTTTATAGTTTGTTGTGTTGTGATTATCAGATTATATTATATTATATTATAATATTTAGATTGCATCATTTTCAGGTACGTCAAGACTGTTGATGACTTTTGGTTAATAACTAATATAAAATCATCCCATTATGCACATTTGTGAGTACACTTCTCCAGATTTTCTTTAATATGCACAATATCCTTTAGCACATTTGGGAAGAAAATAACACAAAGTAACAAAAGTGCAGGTGTGAACATCAGAGGCTATTGACCTGCTGTACATTAATTATTAGATTTTAATAATAAAGGTCCGTCAAGTGCTTTAAAATGTGCATTTTTATTCAATGTTTGACAATCAAAAATAAATAAATAAATAAATAAAAAAGGTGAGAGAGTAGCTCCTCTACTTAAAAAAATTGCATTTTTTTTTCTCACAGCTCTGCCAGTGATTGGTTGAGCTCAAGCGCATCAAATGAAAAGCAAATAAAAACCATCTTGAAGGGGACGGAGTCTATCAGATACTAGAGAGCATTTGATTGGTCACGATTTAGTGACAAGCTGCATTGTTTATATAAATTTTATATTTTCTAAACGTACATTTTGTCACTGTTTTGGAGCACACTAGATCATAGATCCTTAAAACTAACATCTAAAAAAAACTTTTAATTTCACAGGACCTTTAAGTGTATACAATGTTTATTATCATGGTCCATCTGGAAAGTGTTTTTGACTTTTTGGAGAGTCTAGATGGTGACTCTTTTGTTGAACTGATTGCATTGAAAGTATACAGACAAGCATGTTATTGCTGTATTATTATGCATGTTTACTCATGTATTATTTTTATATAAAATAAATTATTTGATATATTTTAAAGTGTATTAAGTTATTTTGAGTTATGCATTATTATTGTCGTATTTTTGTATTTTTAATTAGTATAAAAATTATGTTAACCTTTGTCTGCAAGCCTGTTAGAAGTGTTTAAAAAATGTATTATAAATAATTCACTTTCTTTACAAATCACATTATGTTTACAATAGTAAAATTATTTTCCTTTGGGTTAGAATGGGACATTTGGAGTTGGACTTGTAATCAAAAGACTGCAGGTTCGATTCCCACTTCTAGCAAGAATTGAAGGAGAGGGGAGTGAATGAACCACACTCTCTCCACCTTCGATGCACTGAGGCAAGGCACCTCAACCAAAATTACTTAATTACACCTAACTCCCAAATGCTTAGATCTCACATCACATAGACTTACCCAATGTCATCGCGGTAAACACGGGAGATCAGCACCTCGCCCTTGTGGTTGTAGATGAAGAGTCCTCCAATCATGGTGGCGGTTAAACTCAGTGTTCACAGGCCATGCTGGAAAACTGAATAAAGAGGAGCCAAAACGTCAGTCAATGGACAAAATAATTTATAAAATCTGATTTAACTTTAAAGTGCATTATGTTTCAGTTTACCTTGAATTTAGCTTAAGCTTAAAGTGTAAAAATATACCAAAACAAGCTAAATTAAATCTCTCATTGGGAGACTTAATGAGAGATTAAAGTGCACAACCACGACAATGTTGACAACACGTGAAGATCTTCTCTTAACACCCTGCTCCTGTAATCCTCTCTATCTGAACCTTGGAAACACCCAAGAATACCCATGACAAGCTAATAAAAAGCCTGAAGTCCATTTCCCGCTAACATTTAAGTGCTGTTGAGCACGTTTTTAAATCAGCACTGATTTGCCATTGTGTTCACATGCACAACAGAAATGACTGTGATTGGCCGAGAAGATCATCTGTTCACCGAACTCACCGCTGTTTACTGAGTGTAACTACAGATACAGGGACACTGGAGCGTTTTAAAGTTGTGATTTCTCAGCAGATCGCTCGTATGTCAGCTTGAACACAAACCAGCTGATCGACTTTGAAACGCTCCAGTGTCCATGTGTGCTCTTCTTATTGGCTCACTGCTCTAACTGAACGCGATTGATTGGTTAATATCAGCTGTCAATCACTCAGTTAATGCCTTCTGCCTTCAGATGACAGGAGCTACAACTGTGAAAATGTGAAGCGCTGAAGATGAGAGAATGAAAATAACACTGACAGATTTACCTAAAGTTACTAATAATGGCACATCTTATTAGTGATCATGTGCTGAATGTTAATCCATTTACACTTTTCCAAGAGTGGATAAAAGACTTCCAGTGTTTCAAGTCCGCTATGAAAATGACTAAAGCCATTCACTGTATAGTCTGTAGGACGGGGTTTGCAGGTAACAGCGTTTGCCACTGAATTTACACATTATAAGTTCGAGAGTTACTATATAAGCCTTCATTTAATCCTCACGATGCTGTCAGCCGTGCAAGCGCCAGCTATAAGTAATATTTAGCACAACTCATGAAAAGACCATTATTGCTATTAAGATGACATGCAAATAAGTTATATATGAATATAAATGTGGGGATAAAAGTTTGTCGGCCATCGGCAATGGACGAAGGCATCGTCTATCGACACAACCCTATCACAATACTTGAATGCTTTTGAAATCAATTTACAATTAAGTGTTGTCACGATACTGGAATTCGATATTAAACGGTAATGAAATTTTAATAACGTCCATTTTCCGCTAACATGTAAGTGCTTTTGATTACGTTCTTAAGCACCGCTAATTTGCCATTGAGTTCACAAGCTCAACTGAAATGACTGTGATTGGCCGTGAAGCGGGCTGGGCAATATTGGAAAAAAATATATCACAGTATTATGCTCCATATTATTCGATATCGGTAATTATTTAATATTTTTTAACAATACATTTAGGAATATTATAAGGCAAGTAGCTTAAATAGTCATATTTACAAAAAATATCGAATCTCTTTATAATAAAATAAAAATTTGTGTTTTTTTCCGCGATTCATCAGCGAATCGCTCGTATGTCAGCTTACAGACAAACCAGCTGATAGACGCGACTTTGAAACACTCCAGTGTTCGCTGTATCTTTAGTTACAATCAGTAAACAGCAGTGAGTTCGGTGAAACGATGACCTTCATGGCCAATTTGTCACTTCTGTTGAGCACATGACCACAATGGCAAATCAACCCTGTTTAAGAAAGTGCTTAACAACAGTGCCCAAATGTTAGCAGGAAATGGATGTCTTTTAAATTCAGAACCGATAGGTATCGAATTCCAGTATCGTGACAGCCCAAACACAATCAGAGACATCAAAAACACATACAAATGATAAATCATAATACTAGTACAACATTGCATATACTGTGAAAGTCTGGAGGTAAAGTGCGCCGGCAAATATCACTGAGGTGGTCACGATAACCCGAGTTTGATTCCCAGCTCAAGGTCCTTCGCCGATCCTTCACCCCCTCTCTAAATTTTCCAGGTATTCCTGTCTCAACACTACTGTCCTGTATAATAAAGGTGAAATAAAAAAAAACGAAAAATAATTATTAATTTTTTTTTTAAAATAATATAAAGATATAATTCTGCCACTTATGTCTTTTCCTCCTCAAATGGGACATCCATGTTCGCTCGCATCTTTCTTTATTAATCATAAAATTATTCTCCATCACATATAACACAAAAACACACATGTAAGCTTTTATAAAAATCACACTATAACTTAATCTATCCTGCGTTTCCTGTTATAGACACATTTACACATCTATCTGGATGATGAGAGACCCTTATACTGAATCAAGCAGAAATGACAGGAACAACTGAAGCAAGTCTAAACCAAAATGACCAAGGATAATATGCATGGGTAAACCTCTGCATTGTGTAAAATTAATATTAACACACAGACAGACCACATAGCCTGTCAACACAAGATTACTCGACAAAACAACATTAGGAGTAAGCATTGTGACACCACAAAGGTTACAGTTTTATGAGTAATTCTAAATATCATAAGAACATAATGAATATTTTGATGATGATGTCATTCCTTAGCCCTACAACATCCATAATGGCTGCTGATGGAGGGGGAAAAAAAGGAAAAATCATATAGCAGTTACGGAGCTAACCGGGAATTTATGATGTTTCCATTATTTCCAGTGATGATTTTTAATAAATGTACAATTCTCTGCAGCATCAATCATGTCTGCGGATGGAGACCAGCGCACTGCGACTGTCTGTCTCGACTCAAAAATGACAGAAAACTCTAATAAACACCAATATATACCGTTCACAGTAAGCTTTCTGCATAATTCTAACAGAAAAAGGCTGGGTTTATTATTAAAACGTCAAAATATTAGCCAGAAATCGCGAGCTGTAGAGGTAACGTTATGTAAAGGTCTCCCATTCAAAAACACAGACATCACGATTTAATACGTTTAAACGGCGTTTTCTTCAGATAACCGTTCCCTAATACCACATATACATGTCATCATTCGACATATTTCCATAAGCGAATCTAACGTTAATGTAAAACGCCCGCGTCCTGCTGGTTAGCTGGTTAAGCTAACTAACTAGCTCAGCTCGGCGGTGTCACGACAGACCCGGCCGGTGAATTCACCCAACTCACCCCTCCGTGTTTGTCTCTGGATGTCCCTCCCGACCAAAACCGGCTTGGCGGACACAGATGTGCTCGGTTCTGACCGAAGCTCGGTGTTATTGACCGGATTTGATGTTCCAGGCTGCGGTCACCGCTCACTCATGAATCCAAGATGTCGCCCGCTGCTCCCTCCCTGTGCAGCCGACAGTCAGCTGACACGCGTGTGCTTTTACACTGAGGTAAACTTGGTTTTATATTCGCACGTTTGGGCTTTATACTATTTCTAGATTTCAACTATTTCTGTATTTGAGCCATTCCATACAAATGTCAACCTTTCCATGAAATAAAGTTTTTACTTTCTAGTTTTTTTTTGTGTGTGTGTGTAGGCTTGTGCACTCACCGACCACTTCATTAGGTACTCCTTACTAGTACCGGGGACCCCCCTTTCCTTCAAAACTGCCTTAATCCTTTGTGGTTAACATTCAAAATGGTACTGGTAATAATATTCCTCAGAGATTTCGGTCCATATTGAGATGATAGAATCACACAGTTCAATCTCCCGTTCCACCACATCCCATAGGTTCTCTATTGGATTGAGAACTGGTGACTGTGGAGGCCATTTGAGTACAGTGAACTCATTGTCATGTTCAAGAAATTAGTCGGAGATGGTTTTCGCTTTATGACATGGCACGTTATCCAGCTGGAAGTAGCCATCAGAAGATGGGTACACTGTGGTCATGTCATAAAGGGACGAACACAGTCAGCAACAATACTTAGGTAGGCTGTGACGTTGACATGGTGTTCAATTGGTACTAATGGGCCAAAAGTGTGCCAAGAAAACATCCCCACACCATTACATCACCACCACCAGCCTGAACCATTGACTCAATGCAGGATGAATCTATGCTTTCATGTTGTTGACACTAAATTCTGACCCTACTATACGAATGTCGCAGCAGAAATGGAGACTCATCAGACCAGGCAACGTTTTTCCAATCTTCTATTGTCCAATTTTGGTGAGCCTGTGTGAATTGTAGCCTCAGTTTCCTGTTCTTAGCTGACAGGAGTGGCACCCGGTGTGGTCTTCTGCTGCTGTAGCCCATCCGCTTCAAGGTTGGCCGTATTGTGCATTCAGAGATGCTGTTCTACAGTCCACGGTTGTAACGAGTGCTTATTTGAGTTACTGTTGCGTTTGTCAGCTCGAACCATTCTGGCCATTATCATCTGATATTTGTTATCAACAAGGCATTTGCGCCCACAGAACTTCCGCTCACTGGATATTTTCTCTTTTTCAGACCATTCTCTGTAAACCCTAGAGATAGTTGTGCGTGAAAATCCCAGTAGATCAGCAGTTTCTGAAATACTCAGACCAGCCCGTCTGGCACAATCAACCATGCCAAAGTCACCCATGTCAAAGTCACTTAAATCACCTTTCTTCCCCATTCTGATGCTCAGTTTGAACTGCAGCAGATCGTCTTTACCATGTCTACATGCCTAAATGCATTGAGTTGCTGCCATGTGATTGGCTGATTAGAAATTTGCGTCAACCAGCAGTTGGACAGGTGTACCTAATAAAGTGGCCGGTAACTGTATTTTACAATACTGTAAAATATTCAAAAATGTCTCGGTCAATGCATTCAGACAATTATGTTTGATTTATCAAAGTCACACAAGTGCCAATTTCACATCTCACATAAATAATCAAGCTTTTTCCTTATAAATGCAAAAAAAATAAATAAATAAAAAAATCAAACCAATCAACTCTTATCCTTTTGACTATCATTTTTTTTCTTTTGGGTTGTGCAGTTTAATTCACAGAATTTCCACAAAGTATGTTGTATACTGTAAACTCGCTTACTTTTTTGGTCACATCAATAACGCATGATTATTTTCCTCATTTAAAATATTAAAAAAAAGTTTAGAGATTGGTATTTTGATCCCATAACTCTGTGGTTAGTAGTTTAGGAAATTATAATCAGTTGTTTTAACATAATGTCAGCATATACTTTCATAAACAACAACAAAACAGACATCCACTCCGTGTTTAGGCAATAAACTATATTTATAAATAAAACAATTTGCTTTGTTTTGTCATAAAACAGTGTACAGCGAGTATTAAATTGAACCATTTAATACTATCGGATAATTGAAATGTGATAAATGCATCTGAGAAAAATAGTGGGAGGTTTGCAGAAAAACAATAAAGCTGAGTGCTGATTGTTATGCATGACAAACACCAACATATTTAAGTACTGTGTTGTTTGAGGGAGAGTGAGAGAGTGGTCACGTGATCATATTATAGTGCATCATCAGCTGATATTATTGAAGAAATTAGCATGTCGATACAGTACATATTCAATGCATGCTGAGTATTAGGACCAATGATAGTACATAGTAATACCTCCCAATTTAGGTTTTTTAAATCAACATCAAATCATAATTGACTTAATATAAAGCAGGCATGTCTAAACTCGGTCCTGGAGGACCGGTGTCCTGCAAAGTTTAGTTCCAACCCCAATCAGACACACCTGGGCTAGCTAATCAAGCTCTTACAAGGCTTTGTAAAAACATCCTTGCAGGTGTGTTGAGGCAAGTTGGAGCTAAAATCTGCAGGACATCGGCCCTCCAGGACCGAGTTTGGACACCCCTGATATAAAAGGAAACTCCACTTTTTTGGCTCATTTTGAAACTAGCCCAGAGTTAAACGAGACTTTTTTTTTATTATTCATTCAGTCGATCACTGTGTTTGACAGGAACACTTTTAGCTTAGCTTAGCATACATCATTGAATCGGATTAGACCATTAGCATCTCACTCAAAAATGACCCAGAGTTCCGATAATTTTCTGTTATTACGTCATGTAGGAGCCAAATTGTTGTTTATTGAATTTATATAAAATATACTTTTGTGTAGTATTTTCTTTATTGAGTGCTTGTCTTGTATGGATGTTTGTTCTGAGTACTAAGAACGACATAAAAAGTTGAATAAAAAATGAAAAGTTGCTATTTATGTAGGTCAACATGGCTTGGAAGAAGAGCTAAACAATATATCGTTTGAGCATCAATATCGCAATGTGTGGATCCACAATATTAGATTATTTATTAAAGATTAAAAGATATTATTAAATGTTGTTTATTTTCTAATTATTAATGCAATAATGACCAAGTTATTTTATTTACATTTGATTGTTCAATTTCTGTACTGGAACACTGTTTGACTCCCCAGAAAAAAACGTTTATTGAACTTTTATTTTTGCTCTGTTGTGGTTATATGCTTATAAATTTATTATATTTTATGCAGATGTACAGATGTTCATCATAGTAATCAATCTAAAAGAATGACATCTTTCCAAATAGAGCTATTCAAATCATCTGGTGAAATTATATTCATATCACAATATCAATCGCAACCAAACAAAATATGGCAGGTTTGTCCAACATTGTGCAGCCCTAGGCAGTTCTAGGAATAATATTACGCAGCACCAGAAAATCTTGAAACTGTTGAGACATAGGTAAAAGAGGATTCAGAACTATTTTCAGGCACTGCGTAATATTATTGCACTGCTGCAGTCATGATACAGCAGCAACATTTTGTGATTATTACGCCAGAAAGAAACTATAGTTCCTAGACATATCAGCCTAGAAAATAGCAACTTTCCATTTTCTGTTGTTCTTAGTACATGATAAAACTGCAGAAATCTCAAGTTTAAATAGAAAACAAAAATTATCAAAACTTTTTGGTCAATTTTGAGCGAGATGCTAATGGTCTAATCCGATTCAATGATTTATGCTAAGCTAAGCTAAACGTGCTTCAACCAGACCCAAAGATCGGCTAAATGGATTCAAAATTGGTAAAACTCAATTTTCTAACTCAAGGGGGGTTGTAAAATTAGCCTGTTTCCCAAAACAAAAAGTGGAGTGTGCCTTTAATCCAGTGTTTCCCAACCCTGTTCCTGGAGGCACACCAACAGTACATATTTTAGATGTCTCCCTTATTTGACCTATTAACTTCAGGTTTTGGAGTATCTTATGTTCTTATGGGTTGATTCAGGTGTATTTGATTAGGGAGAGGCTGAAAATGTGTACTGTTGGTGTTCCTTCAGGAACAGGGTTGGGAAACAGTGCTTTAATGCAGTGTTCCCTAATCCTTTTGCTAGAGGCACACCAACAGTACATATTTTGGATGTCTCCGTTATCTGAACCTATTTATTTGAGGTTTTGGAGTCTCTTATAATGTTCTAATGGGTTTATTCAGGTGTGTTTAATTAGGAAGAGGTTGAAAATGTGTACTGTTGGTGTTCCTTCAGGAAAAGGGGTGGGAAACACCGCTTTAATCAACTAATAAATGTCCCTCGTCTATGTGTCCACAATTCATCAATTTACAATAACCAAAACAAAAGTGCATTAATTTGAACCCGAAAACTAAGGGAGACTTCAAAAGTCCTGTCTGTAAACTTAAACTCTCTCTCTCTTTTTGACACTCTCTCTCACTCTCCACAAGTATTAGCAGAAAATCAAAAGTCATAAATAGAAAATAATTGTCAAACATCCTATCTTCTGATAGAGTTTGTCTTTCTTTTGTTTTTAAATCATTAAAAATTATTTGTTCATCCTTTAAAAAAACAAAAGCTTATTTAGAAGTTGAGGAATACCTCTCTTTCTTTCCACATCTCATGCTTTTCTCACTTATTTTAGTTAACCTTTGTTTGAAAAACAGCTCGAGGTTAAACGGGTAGTTCACCCAAAAACTGGAAATCCATCATTTACTCACTCATCACTTGTTCAAAACCTTTAAGAGTTTCACTCCTCATCTGAACACAAAAGAAGATATTTTGAATAATGTTGAAAACAGAGGGGTATTGCACTAAAGTGGAATCAAGAAAGCCAGGATAAGAGAAAAGGCGTGGCTTGACCTAGTTTAATCGGGTCCTCCTGGCTTAGTCCGTTGCACGTTTGCTGATCCAGGATGAGACTGAGTCGCTATGTCAAGCCTGATGTTGATAGCCAGGATAAGAGCACATTCATGACATTTGACAGACCACAGTATTGATGATGCATGAATCAATGATGCAAGAATGGATAAAACCCGCTGCGAGTTGAAAAACGCCTATCTCGTCCACCAATCAGGGAACTTCCATTACTTTCATTCAGAGAACAGAAACATATGAGGATTCGTATTAACAAATTAAATCGTTCACTTTGTCTTAAATGTGACCAGTGGACATTCATGCTACTAATGATTATATTGTGAATTTAATGAATTATTACAAAAACCCAATATTGCAGATCTATTGTCTCTGTTTATTTTATTTTATCAAGTTTATTGAATCTTTATCTAAATGATCACTTATATATCGCTTTTTAATTGAGTCTATTTAATCTAATTTATGATGTTTATCATCCAAAATTTTTTTTTATTATATATACATAAATATATATATATACATATATATATATATATATATATATATATATATATATATATATATATATATATATATATATATATATATATATACACACACACACACATAATATATATATATATATATATATATATATATATATATATATAAATACATACATAAATATATATATAAATACATACATAAATACATATGTACAATGTATGTATTTATATATATATATATATATATATATATATATATATATATATATATATATATATTCTAGTTTCTAATTTTAGTTTTCTGTAATATCTTGTTTGAATTGAAATGTATTATCTTTCTAAACCTAAGGATGTTAGGTGAACAAAGTCTTACTTTAAAGAATATAACTGTTAAATAAACTTGTTCAAATACACCAAAAATTATTGTCTATCATTAAGAAATGGATAAAATATTCAGGGGCTGTACTCATTTATGCTGAGCACTGTATACAGTTAAAGTCAGAATTATTAGCCCCCACTTTGAATTTTCCCAAATGATGTTTAACAGAGCAAGGAAATGTTCACAGTATGTCTGATTATATTTTTTTTCTTCTGGAGAAAGTCTTATTTGTTAAAAAAAAACATTTTTTTATTTTTTAAAAACCATTTTTGGGTCAAAATGATTAACCCCTTTAGGCTATATATATTTTTTGATAGTCTACAGAACAAACCATCATTATACTATGACTTGCCAAATTACCCTAACCTGCCTAATTAACCTAGTTAAGCCTTTAAATGTCACTTTAAGCTGTATAGAAGTGTCTTGAAAAATATCTAGTCAAATATTATTTACTGTCATTATGACAAAGATAAAATAAATCAGTTATTAGAAATGAGTTATTAAAACTATTATGTTTAGAAACGTGTTAAAGAAATCTCTCTGTTAAACAGAAATTGGGGACAAAATAAACAGGGGGCTAATAATTCTGACTTTAACTATGTATTTTTTTTCTCTAATCATTTATTTATTATTTATATTTAAATCTGAAATGGATATCTATGATTATATGTAAAATGATTGCTAATAAAATTAAACATACTTATTTTTAATTCTAATAGTTGGAAAATATATCTAAAAAGTCAAGAGCATGGAGTGACTTTAAAACACATTATTTCTTGAAGCATTTACAACTAAAATAACATATAAATCACTAGAATCAATCTTAGCCTGGTTGTAAGCCTGCTCTGGAGCAGGCTAGCTGCAAAGAGGTAATCTCCATATTAACTGAATTAAGCTTAATTTAGCCTGCTTTCATGCAATCAAGGCTAAATTCAGCCAGGATAGCCTCAAAATCCCAGCTTAATCCCTTTTCTTACTTTTGTGCAAAACCCTTCTGGTATTCATTGGCTTCTCTTGTATTTGTTTTTCTACTATGGATGTCAATGTGCTTTCAGCTTTCTTCAAAATATCTTCTTTTGCATTCAGTACATGTCATTTTGGCGTGAACTATCCCTTTAATAAACCAGTCAGAGGATAAAAATACTTTAAAAAATGCAGGTAAAGTACATAAAAAGTACACAAAACCCAGCAAGTGTTGCCTTCGTCCCCGCATCCCAGAGTCACCTTTACCAGAGACCACGAGTCTCTAAGGGCATGATGGGATACGTGATCACTTCCAGTCTTCTTCACTGAAGAAAGTGCAAGCCACAGGACACAGGAGGGACATCAGGAGGGACACCAATCTCATTGTCCTCCCTGTCGTTCTTGATTTCACATATAAACCGAGTCACATGACGTCCACGAAGAACTCACTAGGGTTTCCCATGGCCATGCGGAAGGATTGTCGCGAGGCCGTGAGTTCGGGAGGCACCGAGGACAGGTCCTGCTCTGGGGGAGATCCGGGAGCTGCAGCCACGGGTGGTTGTGGAGGGAGTCCTGCGGCTCCACACACCATGTTGGAAGTGTGCGAGTGGATGCTGCGGATGGTGTGTGAGCTGCGCACGCTGTGTTCGCTGGGTGGTGCTGCTGAGCACTCGCTGGGAGCTTTCTCTCTTCTGTCGGACTCGCTGCCGCTCCCCGATCGGCCTCCGGACTCAGGTGCTGCTGGCGCTGCGTTGGTGTCGTTTTTGGTACCGCTGCGATTAGAGCCGCTGCTTCGACTGCCTGTGAGTGGAAGAAAGTCCGATTTCTCATGAGGTATACACTGCAAAAACTGCTCATCTTATTTTGAGTTTTCGTCTTGTTTCTAGTCCAAATACCTAAAAAATTCTTAAATCAAGAAGCATTTTGTAGAAAAGTAAAAACATATTGTCTTGTTTTCAGAAATAATGAGTCAAAATTAAGTTTGTCGTGATATGTATATATATAAATATATATA